GGTTAACCGATAATTTCCTTAATTAGATGATTCACGCGTTTCTCTTCTGTTTATCAAACCAACGAAACACGGCTGCCTTTTATATGCACCAAATGGACGCGATTGCAATCTGACTACGATTCTTGTTCGAATAAACTGCCTGACAATTAACGTTTCTCTTGATTGAAAGGTGGTTGAGATCTCGAATCTTTTAGATTTGTACGTGACTTCGAGAGATTTGTAACGCGATCAAATTTTAATCGAGGAAAAAGAAGAAACCATGAAATAAAATGTGAAACGAATAAGTAACATTCTACTATTTTAAATATTTTAATATCATCTAAAAATCGCTATAGATGATTGATGTTAGATGATGAATAGATGATTGTGTAATTAATCAGAGATATTAAAACAATCGGTAAATTAATGTTAAACATTTACAACACTGGTCTAATTACACCATAGACTAAAATATGCAATTTGAAAATATAAGTTTCTTACAGAAAAGTTTATCACGCAGCAGTTTTAATAAAACTGACCCTTAAAAACCCCAATCAAGCGAAGTTTGAAGAAAAATAGTTCCATCACTTCACGATTTCCGAAGAAAGTTAAATTTATTTCCCATTCGTGAAATTTCGAATATTTATTAAAAAAAATCTTCATTCGGATCAATTCGAATATTCTTTAAAAAAAACAAAAGATCAACTTTCCAAACTCTCATAAATATCAAATCATAGCAAACATCTCTGTCACCATAATCCTAAATCTACCAAAGTCAACAATACCTTTTCGATCCCTCGAGCAAGCTTCTCACCTCGTACAACATGGATGCGATTCAAATACGAATCAAATGACAAAGTCGATGGCCATGCTCGATCGTTTTAAGTAACAAAAAAAAAAAAAAAAAAAAAAAAAAGAAAAAAAAAAGGAAAGAAAGAAAAAAATCCGATATTCGCAATCGCTTTCATTCGTCACGGTGTTGATTACGGGCGTGTCACGAGGCGTTGGAAATTGCAATTAATCCTGGTACACGTGGCCTCTCTAACCACTGTGATGCATAATGAAACGGACGGTGAATGAAACATGAAGCGACACGAATTGTTCCAAATCGCAAGCATCGTCAAATATACGTGGTTGTTCCCATTGGAGGGGAAACAACTTAAAATTGCGCGACCTATACCTTTAATCTATGACATTATTCAACATTATACCTGAAAACAGCAATATTTTCTAATATCACCTGTGATTCTCGTTAATCGTTGATCGTGGAACGGAGTTGAATTGGATTAAGTCTTTTTTTCGTGTCCTCTAGTATATAGAATCGATAATTTTAATAGGAATTTAAATAATCTATCTAGCATTTCATTATTTTATAATTTTTCCTTGGATAAGTAAATCTAGATCTGTAAAAAGTTTATATAAGCTTCTTAATTTTAAAGATAAAAAAAAAATACACGTGGAACTTTAAATGTTGTAATATATATTATAAAATGAGAAAATATTAGATAAAATATTTTAATTAAGTAGAGAGTAGTATATTAATCAATTTTCTTCTTGTTTGATGCATCTTACGATTCGTTAAATATTGATTTGATAGATAATAAATAGTATTAAAGCGTGCAATAAACGTTTATATAAACGTATATTTTATGGAGCAAAAGAATTTACCCGATTGAAACGAGAACTCTTTGTGTGGCTGACCATTCATTGATCATGTATATACATATTGAATCTGGCCTAAGTTAAACTTACTGATTCTATATGAATAGTAAATTGAGTTTACAATTACCATGAATGGAGAATAATGAGGAATAATAATTCTATCATTCCGGTGTAACCTATCAACAAATTTGGCGAAGTGTAATTAATCATCTTCTTAATCATCATCTAAAATTCATCCGTTTCAACATTTACGATAGATGATTCAAAAATAACCTACACTAATAGATAGATGAAAATTTATCTAAATTTCGTTATTTAATTATCATCAAAAATCAAAAATGATCCAGTTATAGAAAATTGGATCAGAGAATCGTTATTAATCATTTTTAAAATATTTTTTGATCATAATTTTCGGTAACATTTTTTTTAATAATATTATAATGATTTGAAACACGTGACTGGAGGACCATAAACGAGATGAGACAAAGATCTGGCCACCTTTTACTTTCAAATCTCTCAAGGGTCGTCCAACTTCGACACGAGGACCTCGTTCATCATATGTGGTTAACTTTAACGCCCGTATTTCGACATTGAATATCGTCGCTGTTCTGCAGTTATGTCACTGACACAAAAGTTTCGATCAAATTTGCGATCAGACGACACATCCGTTCTCGCAGGAGTTACGCTGATGGATCACGAGCATCCGGGGTTATTGTTCGTTGCTATAATTAATTTTCAGACTTAATTGGTCGCATGCGAATTGATTTACTGCATGCAATAGTTTTGTCTCTATGGAGATTACTTGTGAATTCAAAGATGTAAAATTGTAAAATTTTTTAAAAAAGATTGCACTGTCGCTCATAAATAGATATATATTCAATCATCGATTTTAGTATTATAGATAAATATTTTTGAGCGGCAGTGTAAGTCTTTGAAAATATATTGGTATTAATGATGTATTATGTATAAATTTTTATACATATTATAAATTATTCTATCGATTTATATAGTTTGATGCAAAAAAATGGATCTATTAGCAACCTGAACTACTTTGAAATTTGTACAATATTTGAAAACCGATAAATTGCATTGGTAATTTTGACATTTGCATAAACATGGATGCAATTCAATTTATTTTAGAAATTAATTTCATGCTAATAGTTACGTAACAAGTGCTCTTAGCTGTACAGTCAAAAAAATGAAAGAAAAAATCTCGCTTGGAAGATGCACAAAGGATCGTATGGATTTGATGCGCTTAATTAGGAAACTTCGCAGTTTTGTTATTCAAATGAGTCATGCGTACAGAAGTACACCTTAAAATGTAATAGAAATATTTAATAAATATTGATGAAAATAATAATCCGCGGCATAATCGTTTAATTTATGCGGGGTCATAAATTACATCAATGACACGATCATCAGGGAATAAAATATCATTCTTGAATGAATAAATTTTATGAATATCTATTTTGAGATTCTGAACAGTATTATAATAGGAAATTTTCCATATTTCATAAATTTCTCGTTTTTTTCCTTATAAAAATTATATTATTTGAAAATAAAATTTAAATTCTTTTCCATTCAGATAGTTTCAATTATTTAGTGATTATAACGATACATGTAATATATAAAAACGCAATCATTTCTTTCTTCTCAATAATTGTTGATCAATAATGAATTTTCTTTTTTTCTTTTTTGTCAATTTTTCTCGATCTTCTATTCTTTTCTCATCCTCTCTTTTTTCATTTCTTGCACGTGAAAGATCCAATGATCATTTTTGCCACAATAAACGCTTCTTTAAAAAACTCGAGAAGAAGCTTATTTAATAGTCAACTTTTGTTAAATTGAATGATATTTAGATACAAAGTAAATATCTCATAATAAAGCCACTAGTCGAAGTGTTCGATTCTACCTGAAACTTTATTCGGCCGTTATAGAAACTCAATTTCCTTTATTACGAATTCTAACTGGCAACTTTCAGGAATCGACAAAGAAATCTTATAAAATACGTAATCTTTTCGTTTGCATTCAATAACAAGTAACTAGAATAGCAATCATAAGAAACCTATGAGAGATATATCGATATCGAAAAAACATTCTCTTTTTCATATCAATATATATTCTCGCTCATTAGAATTTCAACGTGAAAAATGAATTCAAACTACAAAGTTTCCTATTTAATTGATCTTAAAAGAAAAATAAATTTTTGAATACCATAAACATGTCAATAATTATATTGATCTTAAATTTCAAAAAACGATGAATAATAAATTACAATCTATTTAAAATCTTTAAATGTTATTGATGAATAGAAAAACATGAATCTATGTGTAATGTATATAGGAAACGATGCATGCATTTTAAACAGGATAAAAGTCACTCACCAGTGTCGTAAAGCGGACAGGGCATGTACGCATACCGCTGTTCCGGATGTACTACGGACTTATTCCTTTGTCCGCTAGTCATAGTCGCAAATTTGGTCACGTACTGTAGGAACTTGTCATAGAAGAGAAGAAAAGTTGTTCGAATTATCGTTAAGGCGGTATTGTAATCCTTCGTTCACCAGATTTGGCCCGATTTCGGGGAATAGCCAAATGACAGGATGATTATCCCGAGATGATCAGAAGTAACTGCATCCTGTAATAATCGAGCATGTTGCGATGCATTCTATGTTGAGCCTCTTCGCAAATTAACTAATTAAGAATGACTGTGTTGTTTCCGTGCCAATTAGACACTATTGCTGATTGTTGTATATGTACACGTGTACGTATGAACGTCGTCACTTAATTAGCACCAAAATAACTGACTTCTTCCTTTTCTGGTTTTCCTTCTATCACTGCGATTTCACCTTCTACAAGAAACATACAGAGAGATACAAGTAAGGAATGATACTTCACGTTTCCCGGTCATTTATTTTTAGTCGAACAAACATGGCGATTCTATTCACTTCGAAAGCGCGGGAAAAATAGCATGTTGCATTGATCATTGCATCGATATGGAAGTAATGTTTCATGGTGATGGATACACGAAATTTATTTATGTTTGCTTGTAGAACATTGTACAGCATCATAATAATAAAAATGCCTAAATCCTTACACAAATCACATTCGTTCTTCCTTTATTAGAATAAGCACCAATACGTTAACTTTAGTGACTACACGATCTCCGAATATAGAACTTGTTTATAGATTACCTATTAGCGATTCTAAAATTTTCCACATCACGCCCCCTTTTTACTATTTCATGAAATTCTGAACTTCTTTTAATATACTCAAAGGAGGCGCCACCGGTTTAATAGAAATTAACAAATATGCTAACGATCGTCAATCAAGTGTATCACATATTTTGCGAGAAATAAATGTGAGTTTTACGTGTAACAAATTATTGTGTTTTCGTGTTAAATTTTCGCGAAAGATTCGAAAATATGATAATTACCACATAGTTTTACGACTGCATCATAATAATATTTTTCATTTATAAAAATAATCGGTGATAAATATCAAATAAATTACGAATAATAAAAATTACGCAGTCATGGTGAAAATCGATCCACGTGATTATCGAAAACGGAAGCAATCGCATTAAATTACCGTTTTTATATTAGCACAATACATGTAACTAGTGCTTGAATTGAGTGCCTCTTCTTCGTACCAGTACCCTCGAGCCGATTTCACGACTTTATCGATGTTGATATTCCTGAAAAGTACGCATATATGTACAGTATAGTTTGTGGTAATTTTACCGCGCTTTTCTAATTCGAGATCTCGTTTCGCCGCCATTATGATAAACGCGCGCAGTTGTGATAAAACGAGATGACAATAAAATTAATGGTGTTAATAATCGAAAAGTGTATTAATTGTGCTGTTACTACGAATACTGGGTTCTTTTAGATTTAAAAGAATTAATCCATTAACTGAGCACTCTTGGGACACGCTTGGCTGAACGTTAATGCAGCATTCTATTTTATACGAGCCTGCAAACTGCACAATGGTCTCTCGTCGGTTAACACATCAGGTATGAATGATGAATTTCAAGTGACAAACGATGCGTTCTTTGTTTTAATTCTCTTCTTTTGAATATCTTTTCATTGTGCATTCAAGCGAAATAAAGTTAAAATAAAAAATTAATGAATTTATCATAAATGTTAAGAAACGAATACGAATTTTATCAGAAATTCTGACAAGAGGTTAATTATTTTCTAATTTAGAAGTGTTCATCACGATATAAATAAAGCTGTAACACGTATATATTAATTGGTTATAATAATATGGCTGAACATAATTTATGATATTTATTACTCGTGTCAATTATAACAACTTTCCACTGAAATAAATACCGTGTTTTTTTAAACGATGAACAAAATTATAGGATATAAAAATTCGATTTATTAGTTTTAAGATATATAATATAATATCTATTATAGAACATTATCTATATTTTCGATATATTCCATAATGGAAAATCGATAAATTAATTCCCCATCGAATAATTAATTCCCCATGTTAAAGGCTAAATTAAATTCAAGAAAAAGGAAATAACTAAAAATTAAAAAAGTACGCTAAATTGATTTACATAGCTTAAAAACTATTGACCGATCGCGAGCGGGAATTTTAATTTGATTAATGTTGGCGAAAAGAAAAAAGGTTAGGAACACAGAGTCGAGATCAGGACTGGTTATTATCGAATAGCCGTTGTATTTGAAAAGGCTGTAATTGAATTCTTTTGTATAAAGGAAATCAAGCGATTTAGTTCATTCAGATCCGATATCAGTTGATTTGATCAATCTTTCATTAAATCGTGCATATTTTATAGATATAAATATGTCATTAATATCGATATTCATAATTATTACGAAAATAAATGTGAACAAATTCAATTTTATTTCAATCAACGAAAATCAAGAAAATATTTCTCGCTTTGTTAATTTTTAAACTTGCAATTTTTTAATATCGTAAATATAATTCAAATCTGATATTGCGTAAAATAAATGCATACAATGTGTTGAAGTTGGCCAAATTGACTTATTGCAATTTCGAATTCGTGACACGTGGACGCCAATAGCTCATTTTCAATCTTTAATTTCAATCAAACTACACATAATTTTGATCGCGTCTGACCAGAATACAAAGAACGTTAAGCAATGTTAAATATATTTGTAATATGGTAAAAGGATATGAAAGAACTACTTCCGGTCCTCTTAAAAACTGAGCATGCAGTAGCTTGTTACATAGCGTGTCTCAGAAAAAGAATAAAAGAAATGGAAAAAAAAATTTCGTTGGTAGGAAGAATGAGTTCGCGATGAGTGTTTCTTCGGTCATAGAGTTTTTTCTTGTTTCTTTCTTCGTGTTTTGCATATTGGGGTGAAAAGCTTGAAGAGACTAGAGTCTAATAAGATGAGATGCTTCTTCTCTTGTTAGAAACAGCATAAATTAGGTCTATTTATTTCTCTAGATAATTAGAGAGAATAACTTTTTCGAAATGTGAAAATTGATATCTTAAAAAATGTAAAGAAATATTTTGTATATTGATTTTCTCATAAAAATATTAAAAATAATAAAAGAATAAAATATTTTATTCGATTATATCTATTCGAGCGTATCGCTAAAGAAACGAATATCCAACACTTATTTTCCAATCACGTGCAACAATATATTTTACGGAAGTTTGGAAAAAATTATAAATCATCCTGTTCAACATGCTAGCGTATAAAATTTCAAGGAAACATACATATCAACGCAAACAATAATCAAATTTTTTTTTCATTCTAATCATACCAAGTATAAACCCTTCAAGAATACCACCTCCAATATACTCACATACACGCACACACACACATACACACGCTACGAACAAATGCGATTCGAACATGAAACTCGTATTGGTCAAGCCATCCAATAGCAATGCACCTTCGAATCCCATTCCACCCTTTACCGGTGAAAGTATCCCTTCTACCTTTCACGTCAACACCACGTGGATCCCGGTCGCTGGCTTTTACACTGGTCGCGTTGCCTGCCACCAACCAGTCGGATAGAACCTCCTCGTCATCCCCGTCGATCCTTTCGATCCCGAGCAACGCGTTCGACGTGGAGGAAGCCGGCAGGCAATGGATCCTTAACAGCCGAACGAACGATTTGAACGTCACGCAGCTGCGAAACGAACGAGCCACGAGGTGAACCGTTCGGTATACGAGCCGACACTCGACTGGACCGCGGTGGTTTGAGTCGCGGGGGGTGAAACGGAGAGAGACGGAAACAGAGGGATGGAAAGAGAGCGAAACACCGGGCGCGTGGAAAAGGGAAACACGCCAGAGCCGGAAGAAGAGAAGGAAGAAGGGAGGAGGGAGGAGGAGGAGGAGGAGGAGGAGGGACCGGAGTAAAAGTCGTTTCGGGTGGGGAAGGGAGAGAAAGAATGAAGGAAGAGGATGCGAAGAAGGGAAATTGGGAAAGAGAGGGGAATAGAGAGGGAGGATGCTGCGGATGCGGAGCAGAAACTGAGTCCGTCTCCGTCTGGCTTCGCCGCAGCGCGTCGCGGCGCATTTCATCCCCCTTTCGAGCCCCGAGCGACCCACCACCCTCGTCGCCGGTCCCTTCACCCCTCTCGCGCCGCCACGAAACCCCCCTACACTAACCCCTAGTTCCATGTCGCAATGTATCTGCAGTCGGAAGCAGAGACCCCGCTCTGCCTTCGAGACACACCGCCGTGAAAGTCGACCCTCGTTTCTTCAACGTGTTTCACCCTTGCCTTCTTCGCGTTCTCTCACCACCTTCCTCCTCCACCGCTTGATACTTCTAGCTGGCTTCTCGCACTTTCCACTTTTTATCCTTTTTTTCGCTCCTTTATTCTTTACTCATTCTCCCGTGTTTGTCCTTTCTTCAATTCCTTCTGCAGAATAGGATAGGAGAGGACGATTCCATGGGATATATAAAAGGGACCGGTTGAATAGGCGAAAAAGATACTTCGGGGATGGTTTAAAGTGCGGTTTACGCTTTCGGGTAAAGAGGTTGGATAATTGGCTCTCGTTGAAGAAAGGACTATTGTATAGAAAGATCGCAATTCGTGGGATACGATGTTACATTATTGTTCGAAAATACACGAAAAATATCGAATCAATTTTGACAAGGCACACGCGCATCCAATTTGAGAGAGAATTTTATTTGAAAAGTAAGATCGGCTCGTTAATTCAGAGATTCAAGAAAATATGAATATCGAGCATTCTATCTAAGAACTGATTTTTTTAACCTGTTTCAATGGACGCTGGAAAAAAGAGGGTCACTCGGAGGGCAGACGAATTCTTAATCGACTTCTCGAGGGCAATACCACCTCTCTCACCTGGATCGTTGCCTTTCCTCCCAACCACGACAAGGAGGGAGGATCGGCTCGATCGAATTTCATCCGAGTTTATCCGTAAAAAAAAAGAGAAAGGCGCGTAAAAGATGCACACCCGCGAACTTGGGCCAATTTTATCTCGCGAGTAGTATCGCGAAGGAGAGAATCCTGGAAGAGGGTCCAGCCAATCGGGATACGTCTCGAGGACCAACTGGCCACGATTCGCCGGAAATCCGCGCGGATTCCTCGTTTTAAAGAGGGATGCGCCGCATTTTTTTCAATCATCTCGCCGAGTGGAACGCGGCAATAGCGTTCGGAAAAAAGCAATTGGGAGGGTTGCAACCGGGCCCTCGGCCGTAAAAGCGAATTGCCATCCTTTCCGGTATTTATGAGTTCGCTCATTGCCTCCCAAGTCGCCGTGGGAAGATGGAGCGCAACGAGCTTTTTTGCACTCGTGCCCAGGCATAAATTATTGCCGTTCGTTAAACACACGTCTTACCGCGTGGCCTTCTTCTTTGAACTTATCTCGACGAGCTGCGACACCGTGACACCAAATTTCGAAAACGAAGATCTCTCGAAGGAATTTGGATCCCGTTTCGAAAGATGAAAATGAAGAGCGTGGCGGAGTTACGAAGGGAACGATTTGATCCTCGATGGAAATCGCGAGCGAGTAAATTTTCGATTTGGTTGATTTGTTGGAAGATTAGGAAACACGGCTCGGTTTGGCGAGGATGAATTATCCGTGGAAAATGGTTTCGACGTTTCGGCGAATGGTATCACTGCAGCTTCATTATCCTAACACGCACTGATGCGAGTGATATCGATCTGCATAGGAAACTAGACTGTTAGCGGCATAAATTTTAACTTAAGACGGCCTGCCCTGCTTTTAACGTATCTATTGCAATTTAACCCTTTCGAGATATACGAGAGGGTTACAATTTTAAGATGATGTATTATGCATTTGGTTCTTGTAATTTTTTTTTGTTGATTATAGAAATTTTTTATTTAAAAGTATGTGTAATTTAAAGGAGAATCTTATTGAAATTTTCAAAATTATTCGAAGAATGTTTCTGTATTTTTTAAAAATGAAAAAAAGAATGAAATGAAAAGGACGAATTTAAAATATTATTATCTATCACATCTTGAATTGTAATTGGATAGTTGGAAAAAAAAATTTTTTTGAACTATAGAACGATTCACATTATCGAGTTCGTTGTTAGAAAGAAAAGAAAGAACGTACTCTAAATGCTTTTAAAATGAAAACTAATAAAAAACGAATAAAATAAAGACTCGGAAGGGAAAATGAGGAAGATAAAACGTCCCGTGAAAAAAAAGACGATCGTTACGATCTTCAATATCCTTCAAAACGACAGAAAAAGGCCCATCCATCCGTTCGAAACGATTCATAATCGTTCAATCTGGATCGTAAAACGAGAACTCGTGAAAATGACAACGTCATCCTCATCCTTGGAATCGTTAAAACGAGATAATACGCGTGATATATGTCTAGAAAAAGACAATTTCAGGATCCGTTAACGAATAGTTTCAAACGCATTGATCAGGCGCAATAAAACCAACGTGAAAAGTGATAAATTTTATCCCATACTTCCAGTTTATAATTAACAATAAAAGAAGAAGAAAATCAAGCATATTTGTTACGATAAGAGTTTCAACGATCGTATCACATCATATTTACGATTCGTTGATAAATAATTTATAACGTTTGCAAGTAATATTACGTCGTAACTAAGTCATGGGAACGGATAGGAGTGGCAAAACAAGAGGCATATGAATTCAAGTTTCACTGTATTTTTCTCTCATAATCTAATAGTATTTAATAAATTTACATATTTGTGTAACAATGTTCCTTGGCCATCATTCAGGAGCACGAAGCGTATACCACGTGGAGAGCACGCCATTAAGAAGTTATATATATATGTAAAAGGAACTTGTCTATTCTATTTGAAATTCTTTTCTGTAAAACACGATTCTAGTTTTATTATGATATTTTATATTTGATAATTAACGTGTTATTTAAGATGAATCTTTCGATATCGTGTATCATGCATAATATTTGAGGTTGCGTGGAAAATATTCGATCTCTTGGATTTTTTCTCTTTTCATATTTTTTTTTTTCTTTTTCTAATATCGAAATTTAAAACTTGCTTTCAGATTATTGATATTACTGTCGTACTCTGACCAGTATCGATTTTTCGTTCGTGCTCCCTAAAATTAAAATGTGGGATGTGTATCGTAACAAATAGATATCTCCCCTCCGGGAGAAGAATCCTGTATTAAAACTGGATTACATCTTTATTTTATTACGTTGGTTTCAATTCTCTTGAATTTTTTGAATTATTTTCCACCTGTTACGACATGCTCGTAGATTCATTTTGATCTTTCTGTCGGGTCTAATCTAACCCAATTATAACTTTGGTTTAATTTTAATATTTTCGTATTGAACTTTAATAAAAATCTTCGTTTATTTTTTGTTTATCCAAACGACTTTACGAATATATAAGAATATTTATATCTTTTTACAATCGTTTTACAATCGGCTTTTTAAATTAAAAAATAACGAGTTAAATTAAAAAAAAAAAAATAACAAATAGTTTTCTTAACAATTTAACGCTTAACAAACGTCACGATTCGCTCACGTGAATCAACACGCCCAACGATTCTAAAAGAAACAAAAAACAAACGAAAGAACAGGAAGAAACAATACTAGTATAATTAATTAGGAACAGTAGGAACGGATTTCATTTTTGAGCAAGTCCTTAATATTTAAGGATCGGCCGAACATTCCGGCCCACGAAATGTTGGTTTAATAATTGATCGATGCTAGAAGTAACAACTGCACGGATGCACGATCTATCGAGATTACGTGTACTCGTTTATGCAAGTACATTTGCGCGTCGCTTATGAAACGTGTTTTACAAGATAGATTCCAAAAATGGAAGACTGATCGATCGATTCATCAACAATATACGCATAATGCCTTCAAGAGATACAAACTACTCCTAGAAATCCGTTTAACGGATAAAGAAATACGATCGTCTCTGTAACACACAACTAAATTATTAGTTATAGAATTATACGTACGGCAGTTCGTATATGTAGAATCCTGTAGCAAAAAATAGATCGAGATAAAATATAAACTTGAAGATCTCATAATCTTCTTTCTTACATTCCAAAATCTCGTTTCAAATTAAATTTGACGATTAAGATCGACGATTAATCGTCCCAAGGAGTAACTTAGGTAACGTCACGATAAAAAAAAAAAAAATCTCTGCGTGGAAGCATAAAACGGCGCGTAACGATATTTCATCATCGAAGGATCTAAAAAAACTCCCACGATTACCATTCGTCGCGAGATAAGTCGATGAATAAATGTGAAACGACGATGAATCGTAGTACGTGGTGTAATATGAAAGGATCGTTTCATGAAAATGCAAAGCTTGACCTAGGATGCGTCAAATTCGCGTTCCCATAAAACTAACTTCGAATCAAATGAAAAATCTGGACGGTATTCCTCCCCTTTCGTGGGTCCACGAAATCTATTGCACTCGCCCAAAATATTTATGGTAGACCCAAAACAGGATAATTTCGCCACGATTAAACAGGAGAATGATTAATTTTGAAAAGGAATTCGACTGCTTGGTTTGATTTGATGATGATTCGAAATGATTCTCTCTATGAAGGCTTTAATCGATTCGCATGATCTGCTGTATGATTTTGATGGATGATTTCGCTGAATGCGCCCTGTTTAATCTCGAACATCGATGTAAATTCGAAGATAAAACGCGAATCGAATCCCTCTGCTGTTCGCGATGATTACGTCAATATCGGCACGAATTAATCACCGATTCGAACAGTCGTGTTATAAATTATTTACGCGTTAGTATGTACAAACACACACGGCGACCGACAACGAGAATACGTAATAGACTTCAGTCTACGGCGTTCTGTTTGGTGTTGGATGTCGATCTAGGACTAGGACGGGTCGTCGCTGATCTTATCGGCGTTCTTCTTCGTCTCCCATAGATTAACCCTCTTCAAGGGATAACAGATCACAGCCGAGAGAAGGATCAAACTGCCGGACAGGTAGAACGAGGACTCGTAGCTTCCGGTTGCGTCCATGAAGACACCTGAGCGAAGAATAACAATAACGTTCCGTGCAATAAATACGAAACGATGAATTAAAAATAATTAAACGATAAACCCTGTTGATCAATATTTTTTTAATCACCTGCGAGAGGCGCGCCAATGGCGGCCGCCACACCTTGAAACAGAAGAAGCAGTCCAAAAGCGTTGGTTAGTTTCTCCAACCCCAAAAGATCCACCACGAGAATCGATCGCAGAGAGGCGAAGACAGCTGGAAAAGTAACGTCGTCGGTTTTAAAATTTAATTTCCACGACTTTTTCACACATTTATCTGCGATTAAATTTTTCGATAGAAATAATGGATGGAAAAAAGAATCTTAAAAGATCTCGAAGCACAAGATCAATAATTTCATTTTTATCTTTTGATATTTGGTTTAATGGTTGGATTGAAAATAGAAACATCGAACAATCTACTCTGAATTCGACTTTTAGATATTGCCAATTGTAAGAAATAATTTTTAAAGGTAGGAAAGGAATGTGATTCTAATCGATCGCATGTATCGAATTGGAACATGTTAAAATAGTAAACCGGTCTATCTATGCTTACATATACTAATGCCAAACCCAGCAGCGTAAAAGAACTGAAAGCTCTGGCTGAGCGACAGCCCGGAGAAAATGGTCAAAAGGCCACCAGCGCTGATGAATATATTGTTGACGACCAAAGCGTTAACTCCTGGCAAACTGCTGGCCAATCCGCACACTACACGACCAATGGTATTGCCGATACCAATCACAGATACGAGGAACATAGCAGTAGAGGCCTTGATGCCTGCCAATTGGGCTCGATCTGTACAAAAGAATCGATCAGTGTTACTTGTTTTTTTCTTTTTTCATTTTTTTTTCCATTTGGCTTATTTTTCCACTTGGTTTATTTTAAAAATGGAACATTGCTATTTTTCTTTCTTTCTTTCTTTTTTCGACGTCTTTTAAATATTCCAAAGGATAGAAGAAATATTTATTTTTATTTTTTATTTTTCTTGGAAATTTTTAGAGATACGAAAGATTTAACGGTTCGATACGATACCTGGAACGTACATGAAGGGTGTATAGAAACCCATCATCGTGAGCCCACCAGAGATGGCCAGGATCAAGAAAGAAGGGCTCTTCAGGAGGCTTATATCGAGCATAGTAGTAAGAATTCGACGTACGCTCTCTGGACAAATGTAGCAACTTCCGCTTTCTTGCTCGGCGACATCCGTTGCAGTCGGTAAACGCGTGACGGACATGTGATAGCCAACGGATGATTGCTGCACAGATCGTTTCTAAATTTATCTACTTTGAATATTAGAAAAGTCTGGAATTATTAATTAGATCCGATCAAAGTTTCAATTTTTTAAAAATATTCCACCGTGTTTCAATGTTTCGTTATTCAAATATCCGGATCTTTTATTATTCATGGAAAAGAAACTGCTTTCCGGAATTTAAAATATTTATCTTACGCTCGCCTCTTTCGCTTCTTACCAAATATTTGAAATATTTATCTTCTACACATTCGGCTTCTTATACTTTCTTACCTGAGATTTGTAATGTGGCAACCTGTTTAGAGATCCGCCATAAAAGATATCATCCCTGTAGAACGGTCTCTGAGGATCCTTGCTAAATGGGTTACGCCTGTTGCCCATCTTCAACGATTTCTGGCTACAATCCGAGTCCGCGCGCTGTCGTCTACCGCTGATCGTGTGCCTGCGAATCTGCCAAACAATTTCCTCTACTTACTTAACCAGAACGTACTGTTATTGCGGCTAAATGAATCCTCCTGGCACAGAAATCGTTCCATCCTGTCCGCAAAACGCATATATTCTCTCGAATATATTATTATAACCAATTGTTGATCTTTCTAACACTTAAATCTCTTTCTACGATTCGATATAAAATATATATCCCATCTTTTTTCAAAACTTTTCCACAATTAGAGTTACACTCTTACGTTACGATATATAATTAATTATTAATTATCTAATTACTTCTAATTGATTACTATTTCTAAAAAATTAGAAATAAAAAAGAATCTTACAATTTAATATTTAAAAAGTATTTAATAAAATTATTCAATATTGATCTTAATTGTAAATATTTCTTGTATACCAAGGATGCTCAATTTTAGAAAAATCCATGGATATTCCCAATGAGTTCGCTCGAATTTTTACGTTGATTTAACTTAGGAACATAAAACGTTAAAACAGGATAATGTAAAATGGGAGTTTTTATACTCACCGTGGGCACTTTGCCATTCAGTCTTTCAACATCTCCACCGAGGAGATTATTCTCCTCCTCGACGATTTTTTCATCTATATTCATGTCCAACTCTGGATATATCGGGACTGACAGTCGTTTCTCAGAGTTGCTCAACTTTCTCTCTAGGGTTCGTAGCTCCACGTGAATCTTGTGAAGAGAATGTAGAGACTTGGAAGCGCTGCAATAAAAAGTTTCACAAATCATCACTCGACTCAAAAACTTACCCCCTTATTCTCGTTCGCAGTTTAATGTCTCTTGTATCTTTATGAGTTTACCGACTTACGACTTTTTTAGTCTCGGTTCGTCGAGAGCTTGTTAAACTACCTACTCCCCTTTAAGTTCAGCGTGCATTTCACAGAACATTAAATAAGACACTATAATCTTTACAAACGAAACTTTTATAATTATTATACATTCTCTATAATTTACAATGAAGTTTCATTTATGTGAATGGAATTTTTAATAGTAATATTTTTAATAGATATAATATAATTGGAAATATTTACGTCTTTAAAGATTAATTCATTGCAGCATTCATTAAAATCCTCTCATATGAATTTCTATAAATGAAAAATCATATTGATCTATTGTGAAAATTTATATAAACATTGATCAGTTCTATTGTACTCATCTCTTTTATCTTCGAATCTTTCCTTCTCTTCAATATAATCTATTAAGTAATAGTTTATAATCTTTAGCAATTCTCAATTCACAAGAATTTTTTTTCGAATAATAAAATTGGAAATTAGAAGAATGCAAAGTAAAAATAGAAGATTTTATTATTACTTTACTATGTTGGGATTACTTCCAAGTAATTCTGCGGCAGTTGGATAATCTGTATTGTTGTTTGTTCCAAAGAAACCACTTCTTTCTGGTTGGACACAGTGTAATGATGCCATGGACACTCCCCTTCCTATCAAGCTATTCTTTACTTCTAAACCAGCGTTTTCCGGGGTGGATTTTACCTTAATCCGTGTTGGTTTCAGTGGACGGAACATGGCGCCGAAAATGGAGCAATTCAATAGCATTCCTGCAATATTTGCAACGAGAACGTCTAAATTAAAAGACTTCTCTATTATATATACGTGAAATTTTTTTTTTTTTTTTTTTTTGCTTCTTTGGTATACCATAAAAGGAAGAGGCTTTATATCAATCTTGAATTGAAACGATATTCCAACCTTCAAAAAAGAAATGAACGTGTTAAGGTAAGCGTAAAATCTCATGTATTATAAAGTTTTTAATAATATTCGAACTTTGTCAAGAAATGAAATTCCTATTTTGAAGATAAAGAATAACGAAAACATTTTTAAACTTATTCTTATATAAAACATTATTTAATTAGCATTTTTTACTTCAATTTGAATATTAGAATAATGATAAGATAAAAAAATACCCAATATAAAATTACAATAATATAATATTAAAAAAAAATGTCATTCTCAAGTATTATATGATATTATAGATAATTAATCAGGTACAAATGACGTCATTTTATTAACACATTTAAATTTACCAAATAGATGAAGGATTTAAAAATGGATATGATTACCTGCTTGGAAGAGCAACGCACCCCTCCAACCGAATCGTTTGACCAGCACATCTGAGATGGGCGCGAGCAGAAAGGCGCCGATTCCGGATCCGCAGACCGCGATCCCGGTGGCCAGTGCTCGCCATCTTTCAAAATAAAATCCGGTAGTTATCACAGCCGGCACGTAAATCAGGCCTGCCCCGATACCTCCTGACAATGCAAGATACAAAGACCACGTGAAAGTAATAAGTGATAAAGCACGGAATTTTCTTTTTTTTTTTTTTTTTTTTTTTTTTCCCCACTATTCTACTCGAGACTCGTTTCATGTACGATTCTACATACGAAATGATAGATGAAGCTTTATCTTTTAAATTGCTTAATTAATATATAATTTAATAAATAAATCTCATGTTCTTTTTTTTGTATCAATTTTTATGTTTGTTTTAACTTCTATTTTTACCACTCGATTTATTTAAAATCGATTTTTTTAAAATGTCGAATTATGTTAATTATCTTTTATGTATGTTATATGTAGATTTTATTTAATTCCTTATATATGGTAATATATATGGTAATTTCGAGATCGCGTGATTTCGTTGATAATTGCACAACAGGGAATTCGTTCAATTCCCAAAACTTTAATAATTTAAACGTCAATTATTAAATATAATTTATATCATTTGGAGTATTTAGAGTAAATTAATTGCGCATACATATTAAATATTTCCTGTTTTCTTGCATATCACGTGTATTCTCACGTATATACGATTTTTCTATACGATTTAAAATTTAAAAGCTAATAATCTGAATTTTAAATTTAAGGTTACTACGAGTATATCCATGTATCTATGGTTCTATTAAAATTTCGATCGAACAAACAAGAGGATGAAAAGAAATGTCGTTCACGTGCCTCGAAAAGGAAACGTTCTTTACATGCAAGATGAAATACTCAGGATGGAGGGAAACTTTTTCGTTGAGACAGCAGAGACTTGGATGAAATGTGTACAGGGTGAATGGACTTAGAAAAAAGAGTGTACTTAAACGTTTGTACAATTTGCGAAAGGACAAAGATGCGCAGAAGGATGTGCAAATGGCCTTGAAATCGTGCAAATTTGTCCTTAACATTCAAAGCTTCCGAGAGCCACGGGAATATTTAAGCACCTTCTTACACGTTTCCACCCGGTATATAGGATAAGGACTTACCGAGCACGCCGTAAGAGATATAAAGGAACTCGATGGAAGTGCTGAAGTATGAGAGAACGAAAGCACTGCAACTTATCACACTTCCGAGGATCGCGACCAACCGGAAACCGTACCTGTTGGCCAACGCTGACACGAATGGACCTGTGAACACGGGAGCCATTGATTGTAAAAGTATAAAAAAAAATATATATATATATAAATTAATATAAATATAAATATAATATAAATATAAAATATAAATTATTTTACCAGAGAGAAAAAGAATTTATTAATAAGAAGAAGAAAAGATTATTAAAAGAAAATGGTATCTAAGACAGACAGAGTATTATCTTTAGTTGAGCTAAATTTTGTGTTATCAATCGTATTGATAAATTAATTAATTTAGAAATAAATTAATCATGAAAGTATATAAATAAAAATAAAGAGATAATATATTAAATATGAAAATAAGGAAATATAAGTGCAATTAAATAACACGCGTTAAAATAATTTTATGCGTTTCCATACTTATAATAAAACGACGAAAGATATACTATATTGTATATTAAAATATTACAAAAAAAAAAAATCACCAATGTTTTCCCAATTTACGATATAATTGAAAACATTATGTTTTAAAAATATTTTAAAAATAAGACGGGGAAAGAATAAAAAGAAAAAGTGATTCAATATATATTGCAGATAAAAGAAACATATTTTTCAAGAATAATCGCTCGAGTATCGGAGGATTTATATTCCTTTTTTTGTCACTGACCAGCCATAAGATAAAATCCAGATTGCAGGGAGCCAACTAGCGCCACTCTCGCCTTGGACACCGCAAACGCGTCCGATATGTCGTTTAAAAAGACACCGAAGCTAAAGATGATACCGTCCACGAACAGATTGCACATGAAGGAGGCTGCGACGATCACCCAACCCCATCCACCATCCGGCGGCACCACCATCTCGACCTCGATGCTCTATCAACAACAATCGTGAATACATGAATCTCTCGAGAAAATTTATTTCGACGAGAAATTTCTCGAGAATTTTCCTTGAAACTCTCTTTCCATTACCATACTAATAGGCAATAACGCGCCAGATAAGATATCAGATCGGTTTCACGCTTCGGTTTGACGTTCGAGTTTCTTCGTTTCTGCAATTTTCTTAATAACGTTTGCTACGAGAAATAAATTAAACAAAGTTTGATAGTCGTTTAAAGTTTCGTTCAAAGAATGCATCTTACGCGTCTGTTTACTGTCTGCAGGAACGGGATGGACGTTCGAGAGAAGGAAAAATTTAGCTCGTGAAGAAATGATGGACAAGAAGAGGGATTTCGTCATCCGTGGAAATTCACGAGGTTCTCTCGAGATCAAGGCTAAGTAACGCCGAAACCGGCTGCTGGCCTGGCCACTTTCGCATTTCGCTAGACACCGCGTGACCCAAAACTCTGTCGAGTTATCATGGAGACATGTTTTACGCCTGATATATCGGCTAAGAACGTATGAATTACTGCGACGAGTATTTTTAATCACGTGCAACGTTATCTGCCCATATTAAACATCGAAGTATGCGTTTCGCAAGTTTCACCGTTGAAACTTCTCTTTTGATTTATTCTCTTTCCAATCGAACCAGATCTTTCTTCTCGAGAATATATATATATATATCCAAGAGGATTTTGGTAACATTTTTTACGAATTTCGTAGCTTTTAAATATTTAAATCGAAGATTCTTTTTAATTTTTCTCTTGCAGCAAGGTTTGTCTCTCGCGAAGGATGAATGAAAATAATCGAGTCACCGCCGCTCATTGAAAATTCATCGCGGAAGGGAAATGTCAAAGTTGAGTGGTTGCCACGTGCGATCCATGTCTAGAACACGTTTATCGAGACATCTTGTCGCAACGGTATCTACGTGCAATTTATATACAATTGGATACATCTCGACCACTCTCATAGAGCATTATCGAATAACATCGATCCGATCGGACCAAGCCCACCTGTTTCATTTGCATGATATTATGTCCAGCCTCTTACCTCGTTGTTATTGTCATGAATATCTTCCATCTGCAGTTGTTCCTCGTTCCTCCGTCCATTCTGCTGCGGTACCTTGGCGACTTGCTCATCCACTTTATTCCCCAGCGACGCCATCGTCGTCCACGGTTGGCTGGAATGTTACAACGATCGTGATGGAGATAAGAGAGGAAAGATTGAAAGAGAGAAGTCGAAATAGAAAAAAAAAAACGGTGGACTTTAAAGTGGAGGCGTTGAAAAGAAGGCGATTCGTAACAGGATATTAATATATTCGTGGGATCTTTTGGAGATTGTAACAACGATCTAGAAAACAATACAATACAATACAATAACAATACAATAAGTATTAATTAGTATATAAAAATGTCGATTAAGGATTTATTCAAAAAAGCAAGTTAGACGAAGCAAGATAGAAATCATTACATTATCTTCTCTGTTTTTGTCTCGCTTCATCCAATATGAACTTAAATTGCTTATAATTAATAAATATATTTTAATCGACACTTTTATGTTTTAGCCTTTAGAATCGATCCTCTAAACATATTCCACGAATATATTAACATTCTATATATTTATAAAATTTGTCTATTTAATTAGATTTCGTTTGTTTGCACCGTATTCAATCCATGCATATGACATATCATACTCATAAAATATGTCGATGCACAATATGAATATAATTATAAGTTATCGTACTTGTAAATTATTCACGCACACTCGTTAGGCGGGAAAGAAATTGACGGAACAGCTTTCCTTCCTTTCCCCGATCTATGAATTCTCATTTATCCTTAAAATTAAAGATATTACAAAATTAGAATGTGATCCATGACATTCAGAAATGTCGATTTCGTGTATTAGAAAAACGTGTCTGTGCTTCACTCGATCTAACTTGAAAACTGGATTCTTCGGCTAGAAGTATGCTACTATGTATTATATACCAGTTCCATGTATGAATCATAGATATTATACCCAGTTTATATAGTACAGAATATTATAAATGTCATAAAATGAGTCAAATGGCAGATATCAAGAAGAAAGCGTCCAGATAAACGACCATTGAGTAGTTAGAATATCGAGAAAACATAACTCTAATCAAAGTTGAAACCATAAGATCTCTTCTTTCATCGTTTTAACATTTCACGATTTGTTGGATCATGATTAAAACTGGCATAAGGTAGATCGAGAATGATATAACTCGATTAGTTGACATTGAATGACGATCTAATTGCCAAGAATTATTAAAGAAAGGAAAACATTGACTTACTATGTCTTCCACTTCATTCGAAGAACAGATTGAAGTGAGATATTGCGAGGTATTAGATTAAATATTAAATAAAAAAAAAAAAATTACATGGAACATTTTAGATCATAATAAATGATTAATTGATTCTATTTCACTGAAATGAACACAACAGAATAGTTGCAGTAGTATTAATCGTGATTTTCGATGTATTACTTGAAGAGCTCGATTAAAGAAATTTATCCTAAGAAAATTTCTCACAGCTGATAAGATGTACGAAGTACAATCCCACGGGTAAAGAAGCAATCACCTCGTTAAATTGACACACGAACAACGACTATGCCGATTCTAAACGAGTTCACATCACATGACGATTGTTCGGCATGTTCAGTCGACCTTGACCTTTCTCAATGCTCTCTTAGCCGACCTTCAACCGAGAATGAACTTCCACATTGAAGGCTTGTGATCTCTTTGACCAACTTTGAACTTCTAAGTCGCTTTAAAGCTAGAACTACCAATTACATTAAACATTATCTCTGTATTATAAATAGATAATTAAAATTAAAATAATATAAGTATAATTATCTATATATTATATTTCTGGATATAGGATAAATGCCAACATCAATTTTGTCAAAAGCTATATACTTTATTTAATTATAAAAGCAAAAAATTTGCAAGTCAAGTCAATTTGACTGATTTTAATAAATGATTCAATTTTCTCTCCAAATTTTTTTAACTGAATATTAAAAAAGTTAATTGATATGAATATTTAATATAAGAAAAGACACATAAAGAATGTAATAAAAATATAATATTTTCACGTACCGAAATTAGCCAGCAAGGGAAATGCACAATTATTCCAGAGAAAAATTAATTTAACCAACAAAAGGAACTCTCAATGTTCCTGCTTGTATGAGCTAACTATTTGGAGTCCATATGTTTTCAACGAAATTTTTCATCGGAAAATGATTTGTTCGACGTAGACAATTGGATGAAGAATGGACTGTTGTTTTAATAAGCGGTTGATTTTGTATCTTGTAAATGAACGATAAGATACGATTTACGTTAACCAATTTCATGACGATGTTTTCATATCAAACAAGATACATCTTCAAAAATACATTGTTCTCTCTTTGCCACGTATGTTTCCTCTGTATTACAACGCCCACAAATCTTTCAACACATTGTGATATCTTTGACGAGAAATGGAAGAAGGGGAAGAAAAAGTAAATGTTGGGATTTTACAAATAATTCTTTCAAATTATCTACCGTAAATTTTCTAAATTTACCTACGATGAAATTATCACATTTTCCTAAGTACACAAAAGTTTATTTATGATGTATCGCATTCATATATATAAAAAAATAATTATCACGAAAAGTAAGATTCCTTGGACTCGATAAACATACCGAAATTTTGATAAAGAGATCGAGATCGCCTCTCGTAAAAACGAGATTAATTAAAAAATCCAACAGATAAATGAATACTCAGGATTATCTTTCGATTCGATCAATCTTGTTTACTCGTTCATCGCAGAGTTTTGTACAAATATTGTAACAATAATGATTAATACTCGGATATCGAAAGAAACATTAGTAAAACAACTAATAAATCGTCACGACAAATATAAAAAGAGATTAAATCAAAGTTTAAAACGAAATAATTATACAAAAACTTTATCTATTATTGAAGAGAGTTATTATTAAAATTAAATCTAATCTAAATTATCATACGATTTTTCACGATTTAAAAGTAATCTAAAAACAGAGAAAGTATAAAATTCTTTCCTTCTTTTCTGAAAGAAAGAAAATTTACATAGGAACATTTTATCACAATCGTGTCATTCTCATCTTTTCGTATTTAAAATATATTTAAAAAAAACTTCCAATACATATTTTCCGCAAAATGTTCCTTTTCAAAATGTTCAATCCATCTCATCAGAGATGTTCCTTTCTGAATTTTTCAATTTCCTTCTCGCATCGCATACATTACCAACATTCACTCCAAACATTCCTACGTTCAAATCGTCTCGACAAGAAAATCCACGAGGATGATTCGAGGTCAACGCTCTCCTTACGCTCTCCTAGTTCCCCGCTTAACTTAAATTCGACTCGAGATCGCCGCGGGTATAAATAACGATCGTGGATTATCGGTTACGATCTAACTTAAGAAGACGACAGAAAAAAAAAGAAAGGAAGGGAGAAAGAAAGAAAGAAAAGGCGATTTAGACACGCACCGGTTAACACTAAGATAAATAGTCCAGGACCCGAGTCCACGTGTAGAGGAAAACGTTTGATGGACGAAGCCGTATTGTTGCACGGTTTGACGAGTATTGTGCAAATAAGATTGTGTAAATTTCACCCTGCTGACAAAGGATGTGCTTATTTTTAGATAGATTTTTTATGTCATGACTAACTCTCGCTAACTAAGCTTTGTACAAGCTTTTTAAATCATTGAGAGATAATATTGGATGATATTGGATTTCCCTCGACTTTGATACGAAGCATATGAATTCACGTGGAGGATGATATCGACTAGGTACTTTTTTAACAGTTGAATCACGGTTATTTGAGATTATTGAAACGGTGATAATTAATGGTTATTGATGGCTACGAGTCAAAGTGTGTATTTGGAATGAAGTTAATTACGGAAAGGAATGAGTGGAAGGCACTTTCTGGATGTTTGAAATTAGTACAACAGTGGAAAAAATTCGTGATGGAAGGTTTTCTTTTATTGCAACACGTGGAATTTGTAAATTTAATCTTTGGTTTAGATATGTAATCGATGCTCTGATTGGTAATTACAGGGTTAGAATGGAATTTGGGGTAGAGTTAATTAGCTATCGCGGCGATTAAATTAGAAATGGATATTTTCTTCGTTTCGAAAATCGTGTTATAAGGATTGAAAAAAGAAAATGGTGAATAATATCGTTCATTCGTTGCGATGAAGAATTATTTAAAAATAGTTTTTCTTTAAATATATGTTGAATGCAATAATGATACGAAATTTTTTGAAATTATATATAAAAAATGAATATGAATAATTAATAAAAAAAGATATTTTTTTAAATATTTTTTCCAATTTAGAACTTTCTTGGTAAAATTTTAAAACGTTCAAATTTCTCTAAAATATCATTCATGTTGCAACGAAAGGAAAAAAATTGAATTATAAAAGTAGCAAGTATCTTTAGTCTCTTCAAAGGTATGTCGCACAAACTTTCGGATTAACAAGAACGTGTAAGCTGTGACGTGAATATTTAACGTTATGAACCGGTAATGTTACAATCTCTACACGAGTTTGTTTAGTAAGTTTCGGGATAGTTTAGTTTAATTTGAAGGTAAATTCACCTCGTTGCTTCTCTACATACTACAGCACATTCCGATAATAATCAATTCACGTGTTAGACATTATTTAGAAAGAATGGTAAAATTCTATGGATAATTAGGAAGTCATTTAGAATTTCGATTCTCGACTTTCGACCGGGTTTCACAGATTGCAATTATCGGCGCATAATGGTGATGGAATTCGAGTTCAAGTTCATAGCCAAAAGACACAGTGGAAAAGTTTCGACATTTGGAGAAACGATCGTCTCGTTTCGGGAATATGATGTGATGTGGAATTTGCGATAATATTTTCCAAATTTTTAACGTATTGAGAACGTTACACGTGGAAATAATTAATTCGCCATTTCGATATTTTGCCATGAATGGAATCTAGAAAATTGAGCATATACGTGGAAAAAAGAAAATTTACACATTTTATCGAATACTTTAAAATTAACTCTATTACAAACCTTTCTCAATGCTTATCATGAATGGCAAAATTTTTTTCTCGACTGATTAAATTATTACCAAATATACAGAGGATCGTCATATGTACGCAGCAATTAATTTATTACTATCTGGTTGAGGAACATTTATCCCAAAGATAATTTCTAGATGTTATAAAAATGGATTTTTTAATCAGTCTCGTGATAATTCTTAAGTAAATTAGAAGAGAAAGTAAACGAGGATGCACAAAGTATCGATATAAATGCATTGAAATTTTAATATTTCATTGCATGGAAACTTTTTTCATAAAGAAGTGAATAAATCTTTCGATTTATTAAAACGTAAAAAATATCGAATAAAAATTTGAATATGACATTTCGTCGAGAACGACGAAATTATACAAAAATAATTTAATTATTTAACAAATGGAAAAAAATAAAAAAAAGAATAAAAAATAATGAAAAAAATTAAAAAATAAGAAACGCTGTCACCATCCATAAATTAAATATTCATATCATTATTCTTCTTCAACCTTATGAGCTTTTTATGTAAAAAAAAAAAACACAAGCAAAATCACTTCAGCCTTACTGGAAAATAACCGAAGACACGGAAGCAAGACGATATATCGAACTTACACCGTGTCTTACAAAATATTTTCTCAAAATAATCCTCGGTAGTTTGATGGCGCGCAGTCAGGGAATAGAGGCTCGCCTAATAATAGCGATATAAGAAGGAGATTCATGCGAGAATTCGAAGAAGAGATAATGGAAAAAAAATCGAAAGTATGCCGATCGCGGTGGAAATCGGTGTTCCAGATATCGGGAGAGAAGAAGCAATTATCGATGAAGATAGATTACCATTATCGTGTTGCACTGGACACAATGCGGTGGCCCGTTTATCCGAGAATTCATTTCTGGCTCGATACCAAACGATTCTATATCGTTTCTTTCTCTCCTCGTTTGCTCATTCTTCATCGTCGTGGGATAACGTACCCGCGATAACAAAACGAGGCGAATACAATAAGCTGCGAAACAATGATCTATCGAAGAGGGTTCGATCTTTATATCCCTGTAAACGCGTTATTGTGTAACAATGAGTGGATATTTTTTTTAATTCACAATATCATTTAAGCGAAGGAATTCTTTTTCTTTGAATTTCTAAATTCCAATAAGTGGTAAAATTTCAAAGTTTTTGACTGCTAATGTACATTTCCGTTCATAAGTATCTGAATACTTTGATAAAGTTCAAGTAGCGTTGTAATCAACGAGTATACTATTAATTAAAATGTGTTGTTTATTATTTCCTGTAAATGTCGATAAATAACTCGAAAACCAAACCGATAACTTCATCAAGATAAATTATTTCTGAAAAACGAAACTATTAATATTAAAATAAATTATACGCAAGATAATGAATATATGAAAATATTGCAGTTAATCGATTTAACTTCTCTCTCCGGATATATTTGTGTATTTTCATATAATTATGCCTAATCATCGATTGTTTTAAACAATCTTGAAAAAAGAGAATTGTTAAAAAATGTAATTTTTGCGATGTCACTCACATTTGGGATTGCCTGAAACCGATATATTTCTCAGGAAGTGTATGTTCCCGCGTGAAACTTTTCCAATCGGCGTTTTAGAAGTTTTGTTGCTTTCTCCGGTTTCTTGATCTTGTTGCCTCAAAGATAGATAGAATATTTAGCCGAACAGTTTGATAGTTTTGTATCCCTAGCTTCTTCTGAGATAATACTGGTATTAGTTTCAACAATTTGACGACTTTATCAATTAACAAAGATGACTTTATCTTAAAATTAATTACATTCCACCGAGATTAAAAATATAAATTCTGTAACTTATCAATTTTAATGTTATGCAAATTTTCCACGAGAAAACAAAGAAATAAATTTGTTTCTGTACGTTGCAAACGAATGAAATTTCTGGAAGTCGATCTCGCTATGCCGGTATCCAGCGCGTCTTCCTGGAAACAAACTGTTCGTTTTGATGGCGGGAAAGAAGCCCTCGTTAGGGAGAGACGTTCGTTCAATTCGATTTAAACGGTATATTGTGTTTAATTGGAAAATTGTCAGGTTTTCAATTGAATTTTCATGCAAACGATCGCTTTAATTAGCCGACCAGTAACTGGATGATTTCTTCCAGCGAAGATACGATCAATCGAGCGATGGAAAGTATTAATAAAAGTTATGCAAGATATTTAAAACGATATCTTTCTCATTCCTCAACTATATATGATATAAATAAAATCATTATTATATTCGCTAACGTTTTAAAACGTTTTTTGATTTTTAATCGATACTATCTTCTTTATTATTCTTACAGTAGAAACATTCGAATCTAAATTTCTAATAAAGTTTGAATATTTTGCTTATTATTTTCGATTGTTATTAAAGAAATTTTGTAACAATTGAATGAAGATGTTCCATTGATAGTCGACCGAGGTATGAAGAAATTCTTTTGCGCCCTTATCTCGCGCAACTTCGACACTTGGAATAATAGTCGAATGGAAAATTATATGCGCCATGACCCGATATCGTGTATAAATATTGAAACGAGCCACGTAAGTACACGGGATCGAACTTCTCTGTCTGATAAATCAAACAATTGTGCCAATATTTGCACATTTTTACATAAATCTCGATCACATTATCGTAACGTTATTATAAATCTTAAACATTCTTGTGAAAATGAGTTTATCTGTAGTTAGGAATTTTTTTTTTGTAAATACTTAAGATTCGATGATATGATTGAATTATCTTATGTCCTTTCAATATCGAAGTGATTAATAAAAATAAAAATAAGATTCATCGTCTGAAATATTACTTGTACTTGGAGATCGTATCTATAACAAACTTTCGACTCTACTCCTTGATATCTTGTTAAAATATCCTTATCTTTAACAATTTTGTAAATACTTGAAACTCAATGGTTTTTTTTTTTTTTTTTTTTAGGATATTCAAATGAACAGAATTCGTATCTATAGAAAACTTTTTAATATTAAATCTTTCAGATCGATCATCGATTACGTATATTAAAAATTTGTTTCGAATATAATCGATAACTAACTAATTAAAATGCTCTCCCAAAAATAAATATTCTATAAAAATTTTATTTATTTGATTTACTTGACCAAAATTTAAAACAGGTTATCGAACAGATAAATCCATTCATGATTCGTAGACAGATCGAAGGACAATAATTACCATAATTTATCTATTTTTCTCAATGATATAGCCATTCTTCAACAAATGGATATTCAAACGTAATTCGCTGCTATCCGTAATTGGAACAATATCGAGATCATGAGCAGCTAGCCATCAATATTCTAGAAATTTAATTCAACTCAAATGATAAAAATCTATTTCTATTTATATTGAGAATCCAAAGAAGAGAAAAATCATAACGATCAATTTTAAATTTGACAAAAAATTCTCAACAATATTTAAAATATCGATTCCTTTCCACAGACACAGTAGAATTGTGTACTTTTTTTACTTTTATTGTTTTTATTGTTTTAAAATAAAACAAAATAAATATTATTTTCTATTCTATTAAAGAAAAATATTTAAAATAATTTAAACAATACGAATTCTCAAAAATTTTTAGATCAATTTTCAAATGAAAGTCTATATTCTTAATCGAAGGTTCGATAGAAAAATTTACAAACGAAGAGTTCCATTGAATCGATATATACTACGATGAAGCCCTTATTGAGTTCTACTACGGGCCTCGTTGCCCCTCTCGAGAAATTGATTAGGGTGAACTTCTAGATGAACTATATATTCCATTCACTCGAATCGTGAACATGAATGACTTGATCGCTGAAAAGGCACAGTACAATGAATGATTCTACACGTAGTATATACCTATAGATCGAATGAACGAACGATCTTTCCGAGGCCACGTGCCGGGGCCAAAGTTCGACGGGATTTATCTTTTAGATTCGATGTACATGTTTATTTACTAACATTCACCGATCCGATATTGGTAAAAAGTATTTGCAGAAAAAGACGTAATAAAAGAGGCCAATAAATCTGGTGATCCCTGTTGCAAACTTCGACCCTTATCCATCCTGTTTTTCGTCCAATTCTCTCTCTTTTGTTTGTTTCCCCAGATCAGAGAAAAATAGCAAGATAAAACGATATATTTGCATAACATTAACACGTATGAACACTTTTATATTTGTACAAAATGTACTTTTCCAAAATGTGCGGAAAACGATTATATAATAAACTTTTTCTTAATTAATAAGAAGATAATAATTAAAAACTTATATTTGATCCGATCGTCAAATGAACGAACAATTTATGAATAAGAAGTGAAATAAAAAATAATAACTATTATAAAAAAAAATTCTTTCTAATTTTATAATAATTGAAAAAAAGAAATGAGTTCTTTTAACTAATAAATAACGATAATAATAAAATCATTCATCGATTCGTGAACAAGAATGATAATTATTGTATAAATTTTTAAATGCGATCGTGAAAATAAAATATATGTTATATGATAAATAACAGTTCAAGTGATTTTTAAATTTCAAATAAAAAATAAAATAGTCTTGACCGCTTCGGACACGAATCGATAAACCGGAAAGGGAATGATAGAAGAAATTAACACAGGCAATTTCCATACATGAGTGCCTACACAGAATCAGCAAGGTCGATTCACTGAACGGCCCTCATTACAGATTCGAAATTAATACATATTCCGATCGGGTTAGTTGCGTTCTACGCATGCGCGTATTGCGCATATGTGATTCTCGCCGTATGGAAATTTCGGAAACAATGTTATTTCGTGATCAAACATCATCGATATCGCGAATAAGTCAAGTTTTTGCTAAATTAACCGAACTAAAAAAAAACACAGATGTCTTGCTTTATCCTTCTCTCGATAATCTCGCAGAATTGGTTCACGATAAGCGTGAAAATATATGCACACATATATAAGATATATATAAGATACACTTATATAGAAATTAAAGAATAATACACGAAAATACTTCTCGAATGTATCCATCCTTCATAATCACTAACAATAAGGACACGTAAAACGAAGATGTGTAATAGGCAACCACGTGCAAAGGGACGCAACGAAACGCGCATGCGCGTATTTTGAGGCGGGAAGTGCGCGTGAACGTTCATAGAATACGAAACATGGTAGATCATATATACGCAATGATACACGTGTATTGTTACTATGTATATGCACTATACACGGATAAATATGAAAAAATATAAAACATGAATGAGAGAACGTATCAATGAGAATCATATACACGTACACATATATACACTTTAATATTTTCACCATAAGAAGGAATACGTCTGAAACTCTATACGTTAAGACCGGTTGATTACCTTTCCTTGCGAAGCCACTGTCACCGACTGTCGAAATTCCAGGGAGTGGGTGCAAAAGAAATAGGCCGGAGCGAAACGCGCGCGTGTTCGTGATCGCGTCGTGCGCGTGTACTAAGACGGTACGCGCGATGTGACCGAGAGTAAGCGCGATCAGTGTATCCCGTCGGGTGTGCACGGCTTCCATCGGTCACCGATAACGACCGAATGCCAGATTGGTCCGTCTCGAGCTCACAGGATCGTCCCGTTGGATATATGTTTCGACTCACGGCGCCTGATGATCTGCTGGCAGCACGAAGCGTGACGTAATAAACGTAGAAAGTTACAATTATATTATGGAAATTCTTATTCGAAAATTCTTTACAAGTTTCACAATAATCACGATGATTAGTATTTCCGTAGATCTTGATCCTTTTTTTGCAACATTAATCGTTAAATTCTTTACAGAATATATTAAAATATCTTGTCAACGAAACTGGTTCGCGAAGGATAAAAGAAATTCTTTTAATCGTTTAAGCCATTAATAGTTGATCGCCTACTGACGACATATTACTCGAAAATTGCAATCGATTCTCATCGACACAGATCGAGATGCCCGCGCATCGTTCGATCGAGAATTGAAATCGATATAGACCACCCTCCGGCTATGAAAAGATCGAACAGTTGCACGTAGTAACGATATGGAATCGCAGTTTGTACGGTCAACACGCGCGTCGCGAGTTCCGACGATTGTCGATAAGAACTCTGGAGGCGACTGTCCGATAACCCGTTCCAGTAGAGATTGTGTGACCACCGAACCACTTGACAACTCGTTTCGACGTTTCCAACCATAAGACTGTGATAGTGAGCTCGATGACGCAATCAGCGATGAAAAAAATTACTCAAAATATTCAGGCACAGGTGAATACCGTTATTAATCCATCAATTTAACCGCGTCCTTGGTCTTTTCTTTTTCCATAGCAATAGTTATGTGCAACAATGTGTATTTAAGAGGTGATACGATTATATTTTTGTATAATTTGACGATAATTCATCAATTAATAAATTAGTTAATTAAAACTGGCTCGCGTAAAATTTGTTACAAAACACTATACAAGTTTCGCTAATTCCCGCGTGAAAAAAGGCGGCATTGTCGAACCATGACTACACGTGTCTATGAAATGCAACGTCGCGCGTGGCGCAACTCACATGGCGCTGAAATAAACACCAACTTCTTTCTTTTCTTGATCCATATTCATCTCAGCTAATAATAATACATATTTAATTCTTTCAACAATCATTTCCGTTGATTGTTTCTGCCACAAATACAATCATAGATTTGTAAAAAAGTTTCTTTTAAAGAAATCTATTTATTCCGAATCTATTGATTTTTTACTTTTTAACGATTGATCATTGCAATCTATTGCAATTGATCATTCTTCTACAATATTTTTACTCAAATAAATTTCACAAAAACGGAAGATAATCCACCATGAATCCCAAGTATCATCGAGCAAATTCACTCACGTATGTGTCATGATCGTTGTCAACGAAGCTTGAACTTCGGTGTCACATTCACGTTGCACGCAGCCTGGTGTCGTCTGCTCCGACTGAAGAAAAAGTGAACAGACCAAAGGGGCAAGTGCCATAAAAGTTAATGATAGTAGTGAAGTTTGAGGGTCTCGTATAAAAGAGATAAAAAAGAAAAAAAGAAAGAGAGGAAGGGAAAAAAAAAGAAAAAGACAAGGAGGCTAGAGGCACGCGATAAACTATTGGAAAAAGCACGAAGTAATCGCGATAAATAACGACAAATCACTTGCAATTCTCACGCGACAGAAAGAAATGGAGGCGATAAACCTCCTCTCTGTTTCCTACGTTTAGCCCCTCCTGTTACACAGTGGTGCTTAAACGAAAGTGTAAGTTTACTTAAGGTAGGTCGCGCCAAGAATATACGCCTATCGCGCGACGAACTCTCATTCCATTCGGAATAGAGGGAGAAAACGGCATCAATAGATGATATCGAATGATTTAAAAAATTTCAAAAATTTGTGTCTGATGTGCAATTAAAAACATTCCATAGAAATAAAAATTAAATAAGAAAACATTTTCATAATTTTGTACTTGCCACATACGAGTCTTTAGATTTTTTGGTATATTTGGCCTTTCACTTTAATTTGACCATCATTGATAATTAAATGTTTTTTCGTATCCTCAAATGTCTTATCATTGCCTATATTAAATATTTATATGTCAATTTATTTATATATTATATTTACAGTGATTTAACTTATTTATTTATTTTTTTAATGTTGACAGTAATTGCAAGCAAATTTTCGATGACAATATTTAATAACTATATAATTAGAATTATAATGATAAAAATATATAGTAATAAAATATATTTATAATATATTTTGATAAAATTGAATTAAAGAATCAAAAAGAAGTTGAAACATTAAGAAATTCTACACCGATAAATCATCATTGATAATTGATAATTGCCGATGTAACAATAAAGTAAATTAATTGACATATTACAATGTTTTATTGCTAATAATTTACTGCGTGCTCGTGATTTACATGCAGCAAGAAAAATATTATGAAAACGTAGTAAAACGATATAATTTTAAAAAAAGCAAAATGGCGCCAAGGTGTATGTATACTTATTTGAGTGCATTCGTGGGAAATATAGGGAAATACATATTATTAATAAATAAACAAGCAACGCAATATTTCAGTAATAAAAATTCATAATTCCTCTTCAATTTCAATAAACGTCACCTAATACATTTGTCCTTCTTTGTACCATAGCATATATACTTCACTTTTTTTCTTTTATTGTTTTCTTTTAACATATGCACAGGATTAAGTCGTGCGCACGTGTATTGATACGCTCATGTGTATATGTAAGTACGCATATGTATGCCTCTATTATGCACACACGACATAACACATGCTTCGTGTATCTCTACTAGAAACCCGCCTATTCCTCCTAACATACATACATACGAACATGCGCATGCGAAATGTCATATGAACACGCGCGTCGATAATATACTCTATATATGTATATAATAAGTGTTACTGTACACTTTTGTCACGACGACACGCGTGCACATGTGTACACTTCCGACTGAATAACATGTATACATTATATTTCAATTCAAATCACAAAAACACGGTCTTTCTGCACGACAATTATGAGAATAAAAATAAGTGTCGTAATAGTTGTACTAATTAATATAGTGTAATAGTAATATTAATGGTAATAGTGATAGCAGTAGCAGTGATAATAGCACTGTTGGTATATTTTTTCTTATTGATAATAACGGTTCTTTTTTTTTTGTTATCCAAATCTTACGCATATTGATAACTAATCACCGTAATCGGCTTACCAATAAACGCTGTATATACAATGTACATACAAGTTTAACATTTGTTGTATGCCGTTTAACAAGATTTACAATTTTTTTCATTCGTCATATATATATAAATATATAAATTTATATAACAAAAAAAAATACATATATATCTATATATAGATTTATATATTTATATGGATCATAGGCATGTATGCGATTGTAAATAAAAAGTATCATATATAAAATGAATAACATTTTGTCTATTCGCGATAATCAATATTTAATTAGTATATAGTATGACACGACAAACTATAACTTTGCCGAAAGTCGTGTCGAACAACACGTGTATTAGTCGAGAATTAGTTTGTGTTAATTAATATACTTCAATTATTTCACATTTTTTCCCGACAGTCAATTCTGTTAACTAAAGAATTAATTTACACAAACTAGATGCATAAGACGAAATGTTTTCTTTATACATTCAATGAAATAAACATTCTAGTTGAATCATTAATATATTAATTAATTTCTATCTAATAGCATGTTAATTATTCATAATCAATACATTAATACAAGGACGTATGTCCCAAAACAGAAATTATATATTTTCTATTTGCCTAGTTTTTTCGGAATTCGTTATACACTATTTTACAATTGCCTATATAATTATTTACAATTTTTTTCGCAATAGCGAATCTATCTGTATGTTAACTAATCCACATTTTTTAATCTATAATATGTATATACATTTGTTGTGTATGCAAGAAAAATATCTCTCTGAATGTAATTTAATTGGAATTGTATCTTTGGATTGCGACCAAAAATAGATTTAAGTAATATATTGTAGATGGGTATTCTCGATTAAGAATGGTCAATCATTGCATGGATTATCCATGTAATATATATAACATTAAAAGTCAAATGCGATATTTACTAACATAAATAATACGAAAAATCGACATAGTATAGCAAACTTTCGTTGTTTTCGATACGTAAATTTTAGATCAAAAATAGAATACGAGTAAATATTGCTAGAAAGTACTATAATAGATATAAATGAGCATAAAGAAGAGAGCCATTTATAAAAAATGAAAATTGACCATCCTTATTCTAAATTAATATTTATCATTTGTGATGATTAATAATATTCATTTCAATATTATTCGATATGCAAGTGCAAAAGCATTTTTTTCACTTTTTCAATATTTTTTATACTGATCATTCTATACTGATTAAGTTAATAAATTTTTCTATCTATCATCTACTATTGACATAGGCAAATGAAATTCTCCCCCTGATGGCATTTTTTACATTGTTATGTATTTGTGTATATTTATATTTATATATTAGAGTTTCATAAAAAAAATTAGATACAATTGCAAAATTCTAAATACGTTAAAAATACCATCAGGTTGTACTCATTAATTTGTGCTTTAGCATTAAAATGTATAACGAAGAAGTACTTTTTTCAGACCTTTTTGAAGCAGCAGCCCTATCACAGTATGGCTCGGAGATGAAGGCTTTTTTTTTTCTCCTTATACAGATCAAATTTTATAAAACAGATTCTATTTGTTTAATTTCCTTTTCAGGAGGTTCTTGCGGAGATGGCGCAGTTTCTACAATTTCAGGAATATCCTCTTCATTTTCTTCTTCGATATCTTCATCAATTGGAGTCAATGTATCTAATATCACAGGCTGAGTCTGTAACAAATTTTATGTTTTTTTGTTAATTTAAAATAGTTTAAAAATAATGTTTATATGTATGTTATACTTATTATATTTACCTGTGGCGTTGTACAGCGTTTCATTGCTGGAGCCATGAAACTAGTAACTGTACTTACAAGGAAGAAAAATCCTGCCATAAAAAATGGGATGCTATAGCTTTGCGTTGCGTCATAAACAGCACCTGCTAAAGGTGAACCAATGATAGCTGCTGCTCCTCTAAATAAGATTAAGAGGCCAAATGCATTGGTCAATTTATCCAATCCCAAAAGGTCTACCAAAATAATTGACGTCAAAGAAATATATCCAGCTGAAATATTATAAAAACAAATATATAATATCAAAAAAAAAAAATCAAACTTAAAATAAAATTTATTAATTTTAATACTTACATATAGCTATTCCAAAAAGAATGCTCATAATAATATAAGCAGGATACGAATGACAAAACGGAATTGCAGCCACAGCAACTGTTGATATAATTAAGCAAATATTATTCAACAATAGTGAGTCTACTTGTGGAAAATCCGCAATGTATCCACAAGCTACACGACCCAGAGTATTGGTAATTCCAATAATAGATACTAAATATGATGCAAGAGTCTTGTCAATATTCTAAAAATGATATGTATTGAAAAATTGATATATATATATATATAATGATTACAAAAATATAGGTAAAAAAAGAAATTATTATAATTTTTAACTTACATCTAAAACTGCAGCATCTAATAAATATACAAAAGGGACGTATAAACCAGCCATTCCAAATACGTTACTAATACCAATTAAAAGAAATACCGGGTCTTTTAGCAAAGATACATCCATCATAGTTGCCAGAGCTTCTTTAAACGAATCAGGTAATACCAAACAAGGACATAGAGGTTCTGTAACATTTATTGTTTTAATATAAAAATTTATAAATCATTGCATATTTATCTTTGAAAAATTTCTTACGCTCGCGCGCCTTTTCAATATCGGTGTCTTTAATATCTCCACGAACGGATTTTGATAAAGAAATAACACTTTGACGATAATTTGCAAGTGATTTTTGACTTTGATATTCTGGTAAGTTAACAACACTACCACTATAAAAAATATCCTTTCTTGATAGTGGTCGAATTATCTGTGGTTTTTCTTTTGGAATACTAGTCTTACTGGTGGTAAAAGTAATACTTTCGCCATCCTATAAAATACATATTGTTTATAATTTACATAATATTTTTGTTAAATTAAATGTTCGAAAAAGTATGATAAAACGTACATCTATTTCCGCATTATTATTTCGAGAACCCATAACACTGCTTGTCGAAAGTCTCAAATGTAAACTCTTTCTAATATCACCATTAGAATTCAATGTTGTTCTAGAATTCTTAATGGCACTAAGACTTGGTTTATATCTTTCACCAGTACTTGTTTTGCGGATTCTATCAAAAAAGGGTACAGAACCATTTTTAGGTAAACCTTGTACATGAGTTGTAAAAGCAGGCTGTGAAGCATTTCTAGGAATTATTGGTTTGAATTCGCTTTCAGACTTCTCTGTTATATCTTTGGTATCATCAATATTTTTTCTACTCTTTGATTTAGTGGAAATGTTTTTTAAATCCATACTGCCACTATTACTAGTTGCTCCACTAGAAGAGTGTTCTTGTACTTTCACTTCCGATATAGTGGGAAGAGTTGGTACCGTTGGAACTGGTGTTAAAGGAGTTCCTTTAATATTAAAATATATCATATTAGATTATCTTATTATAATCAATTAATTATCAATATTAATTTCAACTCATATTTTCTTACCAGGCACTAATTGGTCTAAATTGAAACTGGAATGAACACCAGGATCAATATTAATAGGCATTTTCATTCTCTTTTCCATAGATCCATCAGGCAGTTGTACCATGAAATAAGAACCCCCAATACTCCCACGTTCCATTTGAAATCTTTTCTCCTCTGCCATTCTTTGTAACAATGGTTTAACAGAAGAAGCTTTTGGATATTCTAATGGCCTCATCATTGCACCAAATACCTGTGATGTTCACCTATTGTTATCATCAAATCTATGTTCTATAATTTCTTAGAAAACTTATAGATATTACTTACAGCACAATTTAAAATAAGGCCTGCAAGAATTAAATTTGCTCCTTTCCAATTATATGCTTCTAATAACATTGTTGCAAGAGGTGCAAATGCAAATGTGCCAAATCCTGAACCACATACAGCAATACCTGTAGCTAATGATCTTTTGGTTTCAAAATAATAACCTACACAAACTACTGCTGGCAAATATATTAGACCAAATCCAATTCCTGAAACAATGTAATTATTATAATGTAATAATTCAAACTATTGTATCCAAAAAATAACTTAAAATCTAATATATTTAAAATCTAAAATATTACACACACCTCCCATAACACCATAAGTTATCATAAGCATATTTACACTGGTTGAAAATGTTGAAAGTACAAATGCTGCTGCACCTAAAAAACTTCCTGCCATACATACTGCTCTACATCCATACTTATTTGTTAAAGCACTGACAATAGGTCCTAGAAAATGATTGTAACATTTAAAATTAATATTTTATTATTACAAAAAAAAAAGATATTTTATAATAAAAAAATTTACCAGCACTGAGGTACATGCCAGATAACAATGAACCAACCCACGCAGTTTTGCCTTTTCCTTCTCCAAAATATGTAACAAATTCTCCCAGAAAAACACCAAATGTATAAGCGATACCATCAACTATCATATTACACATGAATGATGCAAATACCACCACCCATCCATATCCACCATCTGGTGGAGGTGGTATATCATGGTATTCACATAATGATCCTCCTTCATCTTCTGGAGATGCTTCATCACTAGCTCCATCAGTAGCAGTTAATTTTGCATGCTCTTCTACAGAATATTCACTTTCCGTCTGTAAAAAGTGTAAATATTTTCATCAATTTAATGATAATGTATAAATATAGAGTTAGATATTATATTGTCTCTAACATTATTTAATAAATTATTATATATTAAAAATAATAAAAATCAGATTTAATGTAATTCATCTATTATTAAAAAATTTGAATATATTTTGAATTTTGTAACATTATAATATTGTAATGTTAATATTTATGTTTGTCTTATATAAAGTAGTGGTAGTTCACCTTGTAGAATATAAGAAAAATATCAAATACCTTCCTTTCATACTAATGTGTAAATATATAGACATATCATTCTATATATATCTGATTAATAAATTAAATAAGAATTTTTAAAAATTTCAAAAAATTATAGACATTTAAATAAAAAATTATTTTTACACATTTTTCTCCAATTAAAATAGAAATTTAATGAAATTATAATGATGAAATTAAATGAATCAACAAGAACGCAATTCCGGAAGACATCTTTTGGAGCGTAATGTGAGAACGAGCGGTCGTGCCATATTATAAGATGATCTCATAACGCAAACGCAAGCATAGATATTATATGGCTACTGTGACTTAACCATTCCCTAAGGCTACGTTTATCCAAGGTAAAATAGTGTTTCCTCTGAATCTAATAAACAAGAAACGATATTGATCACGCGATAAAAATGACTCTGCTTCACGAAAATGTATAACTCTTTAATACTTTTTTAACATAATATAAGGATACTAATAAATTTAAAAAAAAAACGTACAAGAGAATATACTTCCATGCCTTCTTGAATTTGAACATATTTTGCATAATCGTAAACGAAAAAATCCGTAAGGATTTGTTTTATAAATATTTTGGAATAAAAGAGTTCGTACAATGATCTAGACTGCCAACATATTAAATGAATTCAAATATAGCGCTAAGACATACGAAAGCATCGATAGTGACTCGATAGTGACTTAGCCGAATGGAAGGTCAGCCGAATCAGCTGATCTACTGTCATTAGAATTGGTAAAGCGTGCGCCACCTAACGTCAAGGCAAAGGAAACTTGACAAGAGTATTGTTTTCGACCTTGTTTTCGTGACGGTGGTGCAACGGGTGCAAATTGTGCACACAAGTACGCAGTGATACACGGCTGTGCTGACGATATATACAAATGCGTGTATGGTGTTTCGCGTTTGTCAGAAATTACTACAAAAGTGTAAATTACATTTATCAAGGCTAAGTCACGTGTTGTTTCCGAACACGTACGAAGAAACTATAAAGAAAAGCGAAACGAGATCGTGCCTTGAAATTCGAGGCGAATCAGATCACCCAAGAATGAAGACAAGAAATGCTTAAACGCATATTACCAAATAGGGACGAATTTTCGAAACGTACCGTACTGATCTTCCGCACGCGACGCGAGCCGTATTGGCTGTACTGCGACTTGTTGAGCGACACGCGCGACATTCTATGATCGCTTTAATGTCAGACTCCGTTCGTTTCGTCGTTGGCCTCCACACACTGTGCAGAGTTCTATTTTCGTAGAAGTGCGCGCAGCTGTGCGCGCTGTATATTCTTTCTTTCCGTGACTTTATCCCTCAAAGTTTGCCACGCTACGCCACTTCCGCGCGATTTAACACTCCCCCTGTTAGCAAATAACAGGAGTAGCAATATCAATCATCAAAATCCGCTGCCATGTCTTTCACACTCGCGCGCTTTGAGTCAACTTCTATCATACGATCATCGCACGCTCACTGCCTTCTATGTATTATGGATCAACCGAACTTAAAAAACGTGCGCAGTAACTTTTCTAAAAAAGTACACTTTTGTAAAGAAATTAAGAATATATATTGCTTTATTCCTTCTTGCAACACTCGATAACGATACACGTACAGTAACGTGTCTTAATAAATTCAGTTCATCAATAAGATTCAGCCATGAGTTTCGGATGCACACGAATGAAATGGCACTATACACCTAAAATGATTCAGCACGCGCAAATTGTCATGACAAGTTTGCCGGCAGAAACGATTGGTTTTGCTGTTGGACGTATAACTGCTATGTATCACTACGCACTACAGAAATTCTATTTATATACAAACACGGTAATAGAGCCTTCTTCAAATTTCCATGTATAAAATAACTTTATTTTCTAAGTGCACAATATTCTTTCTTCTGTCATTGTGTTTTGTGATCTTTGTATAGTGCAAAAATAATGCTGAATGAACAAAACAACATGCAACGATATGTCAATAATGTAATCACTGCATTTTGGTGATTGCGAATGTATATGCGAATACACTGTGTTTACTACTATTATATTTTACGATTCTAAGATATACAAATGACTAAACTACACGGATCTTTGTGAGAATTTAAGTACCCGCCGAACAAAAGAACTGCTTGCGACAACGAGAGAGCACGGAGCTCTCGTTGAAGCGGCACTGATCGTTTGTGCGCGAAAAGTTAACCTATAAATGCGAAGCGTCTCATGCGTCCCCACCCTATCACAATTACGTGGCGCGACAACCAGACGATTTGTGAATTTGCTGAACCAAGATTTTAAAAGATGTTTTAAATTTTTATATGTATATATTTTTTTTAATTATTTTAATTAATATAAAATACAATTATATTAAAGAAAAAAAAATCGATCTAAATTTTCAATGATTATTTATACATTTATACACATAGATATTTTCAATACGAAATCATTTACTTAAAATACTTTATGTTTTTATAAAAGTATCGTATAAAGCTATAAAATATCAAGAAGTTTAAATTATGATACAATTCGAATTAGTTATATTATATACTTTTAAAAATTTTAATAATTTTTTTATATCAAAAATATTCTTTTTAAAAGAATATTAAGAAAATAAAATTTTAGAGAAATTATTATACAAATTAAATTTATTTTTCAATTTTTTTATCTCAAAGACGTTTAACAACTTTAAAATATTTTAAAATATTTCGCTAAAAAATACATTTTTAAGAATAAATGATAATTTATGATAATAAAGATTAAACTAAAAAATTAAATTATACGAATCAAAAAAAACTTAATCAATGTTTTATTTAATTCAAAATATAATTGTTATGGACAAGAAAGCACAAAAATAAATAATTCCATGATACTGGTCTTCACGCAAAGTCAAAAACTTTTTAGTATCGTTTAACGAATCAATAATTGTATCAAGGGTTACTTTGTGTATTATGGGAGATATTGCACCGATTGACCAATACATTGCAGCTCAATGTCACTCGACTCTGCTCAGCATAGATGATTCACATTTGACTGGTATAATAATATAGAGATCGACAAGTTATTTATTCTAACGTGCAATTATAGCAGCAACTTGAACTTACGTTTAATGTTTCGACATATCGTTCCGCGTTAGCCATTAGTCCGATGCACGCGCGTTGTAGTTTTTTTTTTAATATCACGGGATAGAGACAAGTCCACCTCAACCGTTTATGCAATTTTTAGAGTTTCGAAACGTTACCTCACTAAGCAAATATTTGCTGGCAACGCTCTCGTACTTCAGGAAGAAAGTGACAGTTCCCGGTGGTGTGTTGCTATCAGGTGGCTTCGAGAAATCATGTTCATGGTCGAACAGCTAAATAATCGTACGCGAAACATTGTATATCGTAAAGTGACCATCATATAGTAGCGTGACGCGCGCACTAATAATCTAAGTCGATGCTTACACTACCATGAAATTAATCTTGCACGCGAATGAAGGTTACCAAATATATCATACTATCGAGATTACCGATACATAGAATCGCGGTTAATCGATTGCCATTTAATGATGGCCGTCACGACGAAAATCACCAAACGATCGAATTACAGCGATATGAACGATAGCTGGCGAAAGGGGGCGGGGCGCTGAAGCAGGAGGGCACTAAGTAAACATTCTGAAGATGATCTCGAGTCGATATGTAACAGTGGTGGAAACACTCAAAGAATCAGCACCGATAAAAGGGATAGGTAGACGGGAGGAGAATGGTACCACTGGTATGTAACGTCGATCACGCGAGAGTTACTACTGCAACATGCTGCATTCCACTGATGCTTTACTCGTCTGCTCGAGCACGTTTATGAATTAATTAGATAATAACTAGCGACAATTAACGTTGAAGGCACGATACATGAAAACACCATCTGCTTTTGATCTCCGCACAAAAATTAACTGACAGGAACAATCAGATAATATTGTTTTATGAAAAAAAATCAATACGTTTAAATAAGAATTTTTTTGTCTCAATTTGAATTTGATTAATTGAATTCGAAAGTTATAGGTAGGTATCAAACTTTCTTTTTTGTATTTTCGATAGTATTTTCATGAAAATGATATAGATATATACGTACAGGCGTAAACAAAATTCATAATTTATAGTAATCATAAGAACATCTGGTTCTCGTCTTCTTAGAAATATCAGCGGCAACAGTGCTTTAAAAATGACTCAGAAACCATAAACAAGAACTACATCATGATATTTTCTTGATTTGTAACAGATCATTGTTTACGACGATGTTAGTCTCTTCTTCATTGTCCCAGTTTGCTTAGGACCGCGAGATATCAGGAGTTGTGATAAAAGCATGAATATAATCAGGAAAGGAAGAGCAACATTCTCCCTACTTCGATGAATCACATTGTGTGAGTAATTATTTTAAATTATAATCTTACCGAATTGTTGAATTGATATGATACTTTTTTTTATTCGCTTGTATTATAATAAAACAGAAAAATTTAAAAAAAGATTAAAAGAAAATAGAACCACTCATTATAAGTTTGAAAAATCGCTAATAAATTATTTAAAATTATGTGATTCGATCTAATCAAATTTAATCGGTTTAAAGGAATTAGGAAAATTCACTACCGTTTGTAATCACTGTGATTAATCGTCTATTTATTCTATCCATGATTCGCTGTCACAATCAGTTCAATCGACTTCATTAATTACTTTATTAATTTAATGAAGGTTAAGTGTCCGAAATTCATTTCTTATTTATTGAAATTTGTTTGCGTTAATGACATCTAAATAAGAGTCTTTGATAGAAACAATCGAAACAAATTTATAGGTATTCCTACTTACAATTTAATATTTATCGGTCGAATAGTCGAAGGATAAGGGAAATACTCGACATCGATACAGAATGATAACGAATTCAACAAACACTTAAAAGATAAGATGTTCTCGCGTAATACATCTTAATCCATGGCTCGACATCAATCCATAAACTGGCACGTGATATAGTCTACGAGGTACATAATACAAAAAAATAATAACATCCATAACTCCACCCAAAATGCAAAATTTCATACGCAAAATTTATTCTTTCTAATGTTCAACGATATACTGATGAGCTATTTGCAAGAATTATCATTGTTCCAACTAGGTAACACAAACCACTTTCACTTCATTTCGTGATTAATTTAATCATATCGTATATTTTGTCATTCAATTTATAATTATTTATAATTATTATATAATATTTATAATTTATAATTTTCTATAATATATATTAATTAATAATATTTATCAAAAATGCCATGAAAATTACTAATAAAATTTTTGTACACGTGCGCACGAAAAAAAACATGTTTATCAATCGAAAATATTTCGTTATCAATAAATTAAATTTTTATTAAACCGATGAAATAACGGATTGCTGTTATTCAATCTTTTTGAAGTCAACTCATATGGTAATATATCAATGGAATAGATCATATAAGTTGTAATCATTGTCAACATCATAATTTCAATATAAACACGATTCAACTTTTACTATGTTACTTTACTTATCTATGCGATTTTAATGACATGAAGCGATGTCTTTAGTTAAAAGTAACAAAATAAAATGAACATGATAAGGTAAAAATTTTTATAGACTATTATTCGATTAGAAAATCTATTTTACATACCTTATTTTTAGGCGACATCACGCGATATTGGTGTTCTATTTAAATAAAGATGAATACACCCTCACAGTAAATGAAAAAACGAATAAGGAGGGAAAAAGAGATGGCCGTACTTGTGCCACCTGAGTGGACAGTGTCCAGCTGTGAAACGAGAAAGAAGCGATATGAAAATGCGCGCTGCTCAACCACCGGCTGACTTATCGCATCGCAGTCGGTTGAGTCCATCCAATTCCCCACTCTATGAAATCCATCTCACTTCATTTCCCTTGCCAACTCTTCTTCATGTATTCCATCGTTTCGATTTGCTCATGTTTCTCTCTTTGTTTTACGATTTCTCTTTCTATATTCTTATCCTTTTCTTCTTCTCTTTGTTACACACAAAATCAACCGTCTTCCTTCTGCTACAGATTTCTACGCAGACATCATTCACGCAATGCAATATCGTGCGCGCGGAAATAAAATGCGCGGCTACTGATCTATCGATAAGTACAAAGTTCTAACTGTGTATACACCCAGATATTTCAAATATGCACAAGATATCACTGTTGGATGAAGATCTTTCAAACATTGGACGTGACACAAGCAAGATGATACCAACAAATATATGCAATTTAATAAATAAGAGAATAATCAAGGAAGAAAAAAAGTTAAGTATTAAAGAGAAGCAGAAAAAATTTCAAACTTCGTTTACTTCGGAATTCAATACGATTGAGCAGAAGTTATTTTCTAAATTAAACAATTCTTATATTAAACAGAGTTTCATCATGAAGGGAATTCTAACGCAGATACGCGAATACATTTCTGTTTTATGACGAAAATAGAGTAACAAATCATAGTGTTTGATTTACCTATTTCACATTTAACCATTTCAAATATTACAATTCAATAAAATTTTTCTTATGATGATTTTTCCATTATTACACATTACTATGAAAATATAAACTGAAATATTATGGAAGAAAAATTATAAAAATTAAAAATAAAATTAAAAAACAAAAATGGTTTTAACTTTACTAACCTATGTTAGGTAGTAGGGAGAAAAAAGGAATAAAAACAAGAAATGAAAAAAACTTACGATATGATTGACCATAGGTTTTGGCTTGATTTGCAAGCCATCATCGTCGCCGATCTGCTCCCCAATCTGTTCGCGGCTACTGGTAGGGCCCATCTCGGCGCCGCGGCGCCTACCTTAGACTCGGTTGTCACTATTTTCAACAGATTGAAACAGCCACAGCTTCGTGATCCTATGTCCTCGTGTACGAGGAATGATGCGAGAACAAAGCAATCACCAGCCGGATGACACCTTGTCCGGGCAGTCCGCTGCGCCCCCTTTCGATTTATAAGCTATCCATTGGCGATACATGAACAATCCTGGAAGTCGTAGCTGCTCGATGACAGCTTCTTCCGGGCTATTTAGCGCGTCTTTTTTTTCCTTTGTTTCTCAAACTTCTTTTTCTTTCACTTCCTCGATGTTACAATACACTATAATACTTGAAGATGAAAGAAACAGATCTTCTTAAAACTTGAACATTTGTCAAAGGATAATAAATTGCTCCTTTGGTGCTAAAATGTCGATGATACGTCGGTTTCTTTTTCCGGTGTTCTCGTTACGACCAATTCGGTGAAATCACGACACGATTGCCACCACTGGCACCAATTTCAGATTATTAGAACCCTCAATAACAACGAGGACGTCGCTTACACCCCGCGCACGACCTAGTCCACGGAATTTCGATCCACCTTTTCAGGAATCTATTACGTGCCGCCTCTCCGACCTGTTTCTTTTTTAATCGTCGCGTTCAAAAGTGTGATACAGTAAGAAAAAATTAATAATGATGCTATCACCGTTGTCGTAGCCGTTCAAGTGAGTATTTACGATACAACCAGATAACGGAGAACGTGAAAATCTTGTTGAAAAGAATTTTCTTACAGACGATCCCGCCGCGGGTGGGTAGCGCCGCGGCGCCCCGGGATCAATAAAACGACCGCCCGGCCGTCGCCTTTCCTAGGTCCTGCCTGCCTGCCTGCCGTGATCTCCCGTTTACGCGACGCTGGACGTCGCGACGCGTACCCCCTCTACTCTTCACACCGCGGCCGCTGAACGCGCCGAATGTATCCATTGGACGCAAGCGCGATTTCTTGTCGCGCACGCCCCCACACGGTCTCTTCTCACGAGCTTGCGCAGCATGATTATCGACGCGATAGTCGGTATTTCATACACTATATGTAACTCTTTCGTCCCAATCCTTTCTCCTGTTCCTTCGAGATTTCTATCTCCTTATGCGGAACAACGAAACATACAGATTTCTCAAAATTACCATTTCTGTTAATATCGCGGTTTTTTCATTCCTTGCGAGAATCAATGAACATAATTTTTATAATTGTGGATCATGAATTACATCGAGCTTTTCATTATAATGATTCATAAAAAGGATAAAAATATTTTAATTTTTTCCTTAATCAAATTAGATTTTTATTTTAATGTTTGCTATAATTTATTTACAAACATATAGCTTGCTACAAACACTTGCTATATGTATCAATCTTGCCATATATATGGCAGAATAGAAAGGTACAGAAAAATAGCTAGACTGTAATTACAATTTAAGATAATATAATTATGCTATTTATTAGTACAGAGAGAACTGTTTGCAACTGCAAAATGCATTCGTATAATCGTATGTTTTGTTGGCTTTGCAATTCAGAAATAAGATACTGCAGTATTGTCGCAACCTTCGAAGTTGAAGGCCGTCGATGTTCAATGAAAACGAGTATATTTGTTATGTATTTGCAGTGCATCCTTCTGTTGATGTTTATATATCAATTATGTATGTTAAATGAAACATATTATAATTCCTTCAAATCTTTAATTAAAAAGGAAAAATACTTTACGTTAAGATATAAAATAAATAAATTATTAAAAGTTATTTAAACTTAAAATTAAAAATATTAAAAAGTTTTGGAAGAATTGATTTAATTACTTAGAAAATATTTTTACGCTCGATTATGTTTTATTCAATCGTATGCGTAATTGATTTCGTACTATTCCGTATTATTCCGTATTATTCCACACAATTGCTTTTATTTTGTAGCTGCATAAGGCAGATCGATATTCGACAGTTCTCAAACTAGTCACGAATATATTCCAAAGATATTCTGATGTTTGATAATATCAATTACAAAAATAGACATTTATACTTTGTAGCGAAAATGCAAACCGAACTTCATTCGAATATTTTAATTCCTGTTAATCTAGAAGATTAGCAACATGAACAAAATTCCTTTCTTATAAACAAATTTCAATTCAGTTTATCCAGTAAGAAAGAAAATCGAGATAGTCACGCGTTTAACTCAAACGGATAAATTTCTGCGAATCCCGCAACTGTTTTATCACTTGTTTCGCAACTGTACTCATTTCATTTTTATTCGAAGTTGCAATATCTTCTATTTTACTAATCGGTAGAGTAGTAATCAAGTCTTGAATGTATTTGGGATTAGTCAGGCCATATGTCATTGATTGTAACACGCGCAGACATAGAAATTGTGTTTCATCTGGTAATGAATTGTTTTTCAAGTAACAATTTAACACGTCGCCTACTCGTGATTCGAAGAGATGCTGTAAGCCGGTTTTATTCATACTGACGTTATAGAATATCATCAACATCAATCTATATAGAAACACAATATTCGATCCGATTAAGAATATCAAAAATTAGGAATATCAATTATTTGATATTTATAAAATTACCTTTTTAGAGATAGAGAACCTTGCGAAAGTGGCAAAGTGGGCATAAGTTTCACCATTTTTTGTACTAAAGCTCTTCCATTCGGATCAGTGATTAAAAATTCACGTCCCTCAGGTGTTGCGGATATATTAGTCACGATGCCTAACAATCCAATTATAAACTGATATTCGACATTGCAAGTAGGGGGAAAAGCGTTTTGATAAGTATTTATAAATGCGACGAAACTTCCGTCTGTTATCGATAAAAATTCACCGATCATATGCTGAAACTATAGAGCAATTAGTTTCTATAAAGCAAAACTATACTATTCTTTAAATACTATATTATTTGAATTATTCTTAAAAATAGAAATATTTACCCCAGAAAGCCAAACGTCGACAATTTCTGGAAGTCGAGATGCGCGCCATGTTAAATTACCCAAAACTGCCCCTAAAGTTGCACAGTATGTACTTTGATTCAATATCTATAAAAGACATAAAAATATTTATTTATTCTAAATAATAAATATTAAAATATTTCATGTTAAATTATCGCTTAATTAAATTATTAATTAATTAATAATTTAATTATTAAATTATTGTTAAATCACTTGTTCTCTTAAATATTCTATTTCTTCTTGAGCCTTTTTATTTTTATCTATTTGTTGTTGCAATTGGCTGTGTAACTGTTCACATTTGAGCTCTAAAACTGAAATTTTTTCTTTTTCCTCTAAAAATAATAAAAATATTAATTAATAATATATTGTAGCTTATTAAAAAAAAAATAAAAGAATACCTTTATTTATTTCATCGGTTAATGATTTCGGAAATAAAGAAACGAGATCTTTTTGACCATCATCTATGTTTAATTTATCTAAGTCTATATCTAATCCAGAATTAACGAGCGTTTGCGGAACATCTTTTATAAATTTATGGATATTTTTTTCTACTGTGTTTAGGGTGTCTTCCACAGAAATCTGAAAAATTATATTACGTATATATTACATATATACGAAAATATAAGTTTTCTTTTGCATCATTTCCGGATATTTTTTTTTTATATTCTAAAAATTTCTAAAAATCACGAGATATAGAATGAACAATATTAATCATTTTTTGTATATTAAACAAATACGAATACCAAAAATTGTTTTTCATCTTCTAAATTTGTTTGTTCTTCTTGAGCATTCTTGTCCATGTTTGTTCAATTGAATTTTATATTGATACAAGTAATTTCCTTGTATGTTTAGCGAATTGATATTTTGAATATTTTTAACATGTTGACAATTATCGTAACCTACACGAAATATAAATTATCATGAAGATGTAAAAATTTATATATTATAGAAAGACAATTTTGAATATATTATAATTGTACAGATTATTTGTTTTTTTTAAATAAATAATTGTTTATTTACTTACAAATTATTTTTAATTATATTCTTCTTTTCGTATAAATCACGAAAAAATTAAAATCTTATTTCTTTAATTATAATTTCCATAAAAAAAAAGACAAAAAACATAATATTACTATTTTCAGTCAATATCTAATAAATAATAATGTTTAGATATAAATATATGTAAAGTAATATGATATATTTGATGAAAAAAAAATTATTTTTAATAAAATTCGATTTTTTTCTAAAAAAAAAGTTTCTGTCTAATGCACTTCTTCCAAATACTGAATTCGATACAAATATTCAACTTAACAATATCTTTATTTTGAAAATATATTTTTATTCGTTTATACTATATGAAACATCCTTAAATTTGAAATAGCTTTTTTATGAATCCATCATAATGTAAATAACGCATGTATTTAGCGTGGCTTGCATTTTATGCATCTCGGAACACTTGAGGGTGAGCGTGGTTTCGTGTTATGATGCAAAAAAAAAGCGTTAATTATAACCTTTCGATTAGAAGCTCTCTTATTTTTAAACTAAACGGAATTTCATCAAGATATTGCTGTAGCCTAAGTAAAATTCCATGTAAGTTGTAAAAATACGATGATTAACATTTTGATATGTTAGAATTTAATTCATGAATTATTATATATGCGTTTGTTTTTGATCATAGAAATTATAAATAATATTACAAATATGAATAATAGTTTAATGTTCAAAACGTTTTTTATTGTATGATTATAATTGTTTTATATTGATACAAATGTTATTTAGTATATTTATCTTTAATTGTTATATAACATAATGATATTTTAAAGATCATTAATAATTTTCAGATGCAATATGAAATTTTCAGAAGGAGAAGAAATACTTGCAAAACATCCAAATTCTGATAAATATTATAAAGGCAAAATTTTAAGTATAAAAGGTGAACAATATAAAGTACAATTTGAAACAGGCATTGAACAATATATTGATTCAACTGATATTAAGGTATATTTTTTATTATATATAATATATGTGCTTTGCTTTAAAAATATTTAAGTTTACTATATTTTTTTCTTTTTATATAACTTTTTCAAAATTTTAGATGGATAGGCCATCAAGAAATATAACAAGAAGTAGAAGAGGAAAAAGTCCTACTAGATATTCATCAGTTAGAAAATCTCCACGTAAACGTTCACCTGGAAGATCTCCATCAGCTGGGTCTACAAGAGGACATAGATCACAGTCTACAAATCGTACAAAGTTTGCAAAAGTTTCTTTGCCACGTATAGAAGTATCTAGTGGTAAATAAGTTGTTATAAATAATATGCAAATGAATTTTTTTAATAATATTATTTTTTAATAATATTATTAATAATATTATTAAATTATTATTAAATATTATTAATTTTTTAATAATATTATTAAATAATTTTTTTGTGAAAAATATATAGATATACAACATAATGATGATAAAATTATAAGTAAAAAAAGGATACATGATGATGATTTTGTTGAATCAATGCCTCTTCAATCACGATTAAAGGAACTAGGAACAATTACACGTAGGTCAACGAGATTATTATCTGGTATGCAGAAACCTGAATCAGACCATAACATAATTTTATTAACAAGAAATATTAATCGAGCTGTCTCACTTCCTTCAGAAAGGAAGAGTCAGATGAATGATTTTAGTATAGATGTAAAGGAAAGAGGTCATTCAGTACAAAGAGATCAAGTAAAGTTATATATTATTATATATTATTTATAATATATTAATGTAAATATTGCAATTTTGAATGTAATGTTTCATTTCAGGATTTGTTAAAAATAAATTATAAAGATATAGATATAAATACACAAATGATAGAAAAGCGAAAAAAAGAAATTAATATGGTTAGTGAACCACAAGAATGGGGAGGAATGTTTGGAACTTTTATTCTTATATTTCTATTACCTGTGATTATGATTGTACCACAATTATTGTGCGCAAAAAATGAATGTACGTTTAAATATCATAAAATATCTTCAGATCTAAATTTTTATGTAAATGTAAAAGCTTTTATTGCATATTTAAGTCTCTTTTTATTTGTAATAATTGTTTCGATCATACCAATCGGACGAAAACTTGATGGACTACAAAGTAGAATTGAAAGATTGCAATATCGTTTAAATGGTAATTTTATATTGAATTTTGAAAATTTATTATATTTTGAAAATAAATTATTAGAATAGAATTATTATCATTTTTTTTTTTTCAGGTTTTTTGTGTGGTATTTTATCAATAATTATATTTGCTACATGTATATATAATGAAATTAAAATTACTGATTTTATTCTGCAAAATAATATACAGTTTTCAATCATTGGTTGGATTCTTGGAATAATTTTATCAGTTTTATTATTTATAAAAGGAGGCAGAGCTTCAATAGCTAATTTAAATATACATGGATCTACTAACAGTATGATATATAACTTTTGGCAAGGAAGAGAAATAAATCCACGAATTGGTCCTGTGGATTTTAAAATAAATCTTTTTCGGACTTCTATGATAACCATAGTAATAATTTTTTAAAAAGTATTTCCATTTATAAAAATGTATAATATAAAATATGTACAATTTTATTCAAATTACAGATTCTCATAAATTTATCTATTGCAATCAAAACAATTGAAGAAACTGAAATATATACTTTAGAACATCTTAATATAGGTGCCTTATTAGGTACTTTACTACAAATCATTTATGCAATGGATGCACTATTTTTTGAATCTGCATTATTAACAACTTTCGAAATAATGTATGAGGGAACTGGATATATGTTATGTACGGGTTATATGATGTATCCATTTTTACCGACTCTTACGACGAAATATATGTTATATCACAAGTAAATATCAATAATAAATAAAAAATAATAATATACTATATAATTAAAATTTTAATGAAATGTGATTTTTAAATTTCAGGACACAACTTACTTATCTATTTATTTTTCCTATAATCACTTTTATAATTGGCTATTTGTTATATAGAATTAGTAATCTACAAAAAAATAAGTTCAGAAGGAATCCTTTATCTCCATCATTAATGCGTAAGTATAAGATTAGCTTACATTTGTAATTGTAATGTAATAAAATACTTTTTTTATATGATTTATGCATTTATCTTATAGATTTAGAAACTATACCAACTATACGTGGTAAAAAACTTATAGTATCTGGGTTATGGGGTTATATAAGACATCCCAATTATTTAGGTGATATAATAATGTGGTGGTCAATATCATGTATAAGTTTAGCATGTGATATTTTGCCTTATTATTATGCAATTTTGTGTACAGGATTACTAATACATAGAGCTATAAGAGACAATGAACGTTGCAAAATACGTTATGGTTTAGCTTGGGAGCAATATATATCACGTGTTAAGTATATGATTTTCTATCGTATATTTTAAAATAATATAATATGTATAAAATATTAGCAAAGTACTTTTAGAGATACCAAAATATGTTACAAAGTTGTACATTTAAAAACAATAATGCTCATTATTTCATAAAATATATTTTAATCACATTAGAATTATATAGAGTTTATACATACACATGTGACATAGTATGTAGGGTCCAAATTAGCTCAATACAAAACCAAAAGAAATAATTGTTTAACATTTAGATTTAAGCATATCATTTCATAAAATCTTTAAAGCAATGAACAAAGTGTGGTTATCAAAAAAGTACATTTTAAAAAGATATAATTTAAGATATTGTTGATATGAATATGTATATTGTAAAGTATATTTCTATGATGAAAACATTAAAGTAAGATTTTTATACTTTTTATACAAATATGTACATTGACAAATAAATAATTTTTTAATAGACGCGTCATTTTAAAATTACATTTTCTGGTAATAAGATGTATAATATTTTATAAAAATAAATAAATAAAGAATATATTTTGTGTTTTTCTTTTTCTCTGTACATTAAACGAAATATTAGAAAAAATCGATTTATAATGTCATCTGATATTTTAATGGATTCATGACTATGACACATGACATAGCACTAAGAGCAGTATTTTGGAAAGAATTTTGAGAGACTTTTATTAATTTCATTAATAGAATGGCAACTTTTTTTGGTGAAGTAATATTTCCAGTTTCACGAGCATTTTGGGATGATGAAGATGAAAATAGAGCTATTGATTATTCAGTTAATCAATTGTAAATTACACTTTCGTTAAACATAACCTCTTTATAAATGTTCAAAAAATTCAAATTTCTTTTAAATATGTTTCAGCGAATTATCTATTCAATGGTTAAAAGAAAAACCACTTGCAATTGATACTTTAATTATAGTTGAAGGCGAAATGCTAATTGGTAATGTATATTTATATTCTTGATATTTTAATTATGTTATGAATATTTTTAACGAAATTGTAGATTTTTCAAGAGAATGTTTATGTCCAAATTCTAAAGAAATATGTTTCGTGGAAGATGAAAAGCAAAAGAAAATGTTTACAATTTATGAAGTTAGTGATAAAGTTTATTTAGGTATTGTGTCTTCTCATTTTGATGTAAAATTATCAGGAAAACTTGTAGAAAAAGTAAGCATATTTATTTTGAATTATAAAATATTTAAGATTAATAACTTATATTAACATTGTTGAATTTATTAGTTGAGTGACATTATATTAAATGCAAAAAGTACAATTTGTATAACATGTCGTCATATATCACAATTTAAAAACAACAATATACCAACAGTACCATCTTTCTTGAGAATGTTAACTACAGAGAATGGAAAAAATATTTGCAAATTGAAAGAAACATTTCTAGAGCAACCAAATATTATATATGGAGTGGCAGCAGGAGGTTGATATTTAAAAAATAAAAATGTATTTTAAAAATTTTAAAATATAAATTTACTAATAATTTTTTTTTTTTTTAGTATTGTCATATGCTCAAATTATGGAACTACCTTCAGTTTTATATATTTTATATACAGATAGTTTTGTATTGGATTCATTATCTGCAAAACCACTTTTAAAATTATTTTCAGCAATGAATTGTACATTACATGATGTTACATTTTCTGAAAAAGATTTTTTTAATAAAGGCAATCTTTACATGTAAGACTGTTTTTTCTTTCTCTCAAAAATTTTATGCTTATATATTTACTTATTATATTTTATATTATACAAATTAAATTAAATAAAAAGAAGAAATTAAATTAGAAATTGGAACAAATAGATACATATTAATATCATATAATTATAAAAGCTTTATAATTAAATACTATTCTTAATTATAAATTTCACATATTTACAATATTTACAAGAATTTAATTATTATTTTTTTGACAATAATAATTTTAGTTATAATAATGATACACAAACAAATGTTTCATATTTGAGCTTGCAAATTTGTATGTGTTAAGGTTGTGGTGGGTAATATGTACGCGGTGTAGGTGCTGGAGGTACTGGATTATTTGGAGGAAAATATGAGGCATTTGTAGGATAAGGATATGGTTGAAATGGTGCCGGTGTTGTAGTAGGAGCAGGTGGTGCAGGTCTAGTGGTACCAGAGGAACCCATATGATGCATTGGTGGAACAATATGATTCATTGTATTTACAGGAGGAGGAGGTACAGAAACATTTGCCGGGGGAAATGCTGGTGGATAATTAATATTGATATTAATATTACTAGGTGCATAATTGGCTGGATATGTTGGAAAATGTGTTGGCACATCCATTGGTTTGATTGAATCTGTAGTATCTGTAGTTAAACATCCATTTGAAGAGACTGCAGCTGCTTCAACTTTAGTAACTTTTCCTGGTGTAACTACGATGTAATATACGATGTAATATTTTTTAATTTATTTATAATAATAATATAATAATAATAATATAATAATAATAATTAGTTATAATAATAAAATATAATTTTTTTTATTGCACATACCATTTGGTGTAGTAGATGCTGATTCTGTAGGAGGTGCTGTTATAGCTCTATCTCTACAAGGTTCATTAGATGGTGTCAATGGTGGTGAATCTGGTGGCTTTGTGTTATTAGCTTGTGAATATAAATCTAATACTTGATGACATATATCTGAAAAAAAAAAATATAAAGATCATATATATTTTTTAGATTAATGAATTTAAAAAAATGATTCCTTTTTTAAGAACCTTCTAAAAGATCCATAGTAACATCCTCAACAAACATATCCCACCAACGTAAATGTTTTGGTTGCCTTCCATTCCAATCTACCACTTCAAATTTACTAAGTTTTCCAGCCAAATACATGAGAGCAACAGCTATAATTTCTGGTTCCCATTGCAGGGATAATGTTGTACATAAACTATACATGAAAACAAAAATAAAATATTATTTATATTAATTTAATAACAATACTAAAATATTCCTACCTATCGTTAACAAATGTCCAAGCCATTTGAACCATTTTTTGTAATTTATTTTTATCACCTACAATACATCATTAATTTTTTTTATTATTCCTTTTAATAAAATTTAGTTTAATATCTAATAAAATATTTTAATACCTTTCAGGCATTTTGCATATTTTAATAAGTAACTATATGGATGTTCAACTTGTAAATCAAATTTAATAGTTTGTAACAAAATTCTTTCTAATGTCATAACTTCTTCCTAAAAAATAAAAAAAGAAAGATTATTTTACAAAAATAAAATAATTATTTTAATACATAAATATTAATTGATTTACTTTTGGATCTTCTCCAAATGTCATAAATTTTTGCTCACTCAACAAAGATTTTGCAGTTCTTATTATATCTTTACATTTTTTTGGTGTTTCTTCTACTTTTCCTGCCAGAAGTAAACAACAGCATGCAGTAACCTATATGATATTTATAAAATATGATATATGATATTTATATATATTTATTTTTTAAGTTAAAATATTTATCAATAAAAATACTTACATATCTTGGAAAATTCTTAAATGAATGAAACATATAAAATCTATGAAAATAAACAACTCCAGTCGCCATTGTATTATATCCTAAATCCATTTTTGTACCTGTATCAATAATAAATCGTGCACCTTCTTTTCTATATCTGCATTCTGTTTCATAATCAATTCCATCTTGAATAGATGGTGTATTTCGGAGTTCTTTTTTTTCATAATACCAGCATGGCATTTTTGTTGTTCTTGAAATAATACATATAAAAAGGAATAAATATAGATAACTACAAAGAAATTAATATAGATAAAAAACTTTATTATGATTATATTATTAAAATAAGTTGAATATAATTTTATGTAATTTTATGTAATAATAATTTAATATTTAATTAACAAATTATATAATTATATAAAATTATACTAGAACTTTCTACAGGAATTGTATATTTTGAAATAGGTTAGAATATTTACCAATATATAAAACTTTTTTCTTTTTTATTTACTTATACGTTTTCCATTAAACATATAAAATCTACTCAATTAAATAAAAACTTCAAAGTTTATTATATTAATAAGTTTTACTCCAAATTGTTTGTTATAAACAATTGCAAAATCTACAAACACCACGAAAATATATACTATGTGAATTTATCTGCAGTACATCTATATATGAAAATAAGAGATAGATCACTTTGCGTAAAACATGCTACCACTTGTTGGATATCAAGGGTATGTTTCATGCGAACGTGTCTTATAATAAGTAAAATAAATGTTTTATATTGTTTTTTTTTTTAATGAAGAATATTTGTCATTAAATATTTTGATAAAAATAAAATATAATTTTTATCAAAAAGATTATAAAAATTTTTTAAGTGTAATGTATATATATATTATATGATTTATTTTTATATATATTATATATTATATGATTATTATATATTAAAGATGATATAAAATTTTTAATAATAATGTATTAATAATAAAATTAAATATTTATTTGTTGCTTTTAACATATATTTTTTTCGCAATATATATTATCTGTATCTTACTAATATGTTTCTCATTTTATTTTTACTTTGTTTGTTGATAAATCGATAAGATACATATGAAGGTGACTTAGGTCTACAACGCAGAAGTGTAAAAAAGCAAATTCTATAATAAAGAAAGAAGAAATATCTTTTTCTATGTAGTATTACATTGAAATAAACTTAACTAGATACATCATTTTATTTCTTTTCTTAAAATTTGTGTTATACGAAGATAATAACTTACCTGTGTTCCCAGCTTTAAACTTAATTTATTTATACAGTGAGCTTTTTTAAATAATAATAATATAATAATAATATATATTTATATTTTATTTAAAATATTTTATATATCACAATATTATTATGAATATATTTTAGACATATTATATATATACATGCAAAATATATATGTTGAATATATAAACATTTCTTTCAATATTTTTCATATAAGATAAACTTTATTAAAAAATTATCATTTTGTCCGATTTTGTTTAAAACTACAAAATAGATGTTTCCGGTTCATGTTAAAGATCTAGTTTGAATACCTTTAGTTTAATATATTATCTGTGGTCAATACATAGCAGAGTATATGTCATAGAGTCATACATGTGTCTATTAATTTACCGCGAATTCTCGTAATTTTACATTTTGAGAGTGATCTACATCGCGCTCCCGTAACGTAACTAAATGTTAATTTATGACGACCGCGCACGCAAGAATATTTTACAAAAACGTCTACAATTTCACAGATAATAATACGACGACTATAATGCCGTTAGCGAATTTGACAGTTCCTTGGTCTGAGCAACATGTAACTGAGAAGGTACTGTTTTTATATTCATAGAAAAAAATCGATTAATGTTAAAAGTGTGTTAATTTATTAATTTACTTAATAATTTAAAATAGTTAAAAATTTGTATTTTAATTAATTTAATCATATAGCAAGATGTAGATATCCTCACATCAGAGTCTCAAGAGGAAGTAATGATAACTCAAGAAAATGTAGTTGAACCACCTTCAAATGGGTGCTCTGAATCACATGAAATAGAAGTACGTGAAGTAGTAAGAGATGGACATGAAAAAGCAGATCCTTCTCAATTTGAATTACTTAAAGTTTTAGGTCAAGGATCTTTTGGCAAGGTATTAACTATTATAATAAATTTATTAAAAATGATTAATTTATATATAATTAACTTATATATAATGAAATATAATTTTTTAGAAATCAAAATTCTTATGTTATTTAGGTATTTCTAGTGAGGAAAGTTGTTGGAAAAGATAGTGGAACACTTTATGCTATGAAAGTATTAAAGAAGGCAACATTGAAAGGTGCTTAATAAAATAACTTTATGAGAGGAGCTCTGAAAGTTTTAAAGCATGAAAATTATTGTAATGAAATATTAATTTTAATTATAATGTAAAGATTATTTTTTATGATAAGTTTTTTATTAAAATGTATGAAAAAATTTCATCTTGGAACATCAAAAATTATTGGTTTTTTTTATACTCAACAAATATATTTCAAAAATATAAGTTTTAATATTAAGAAATCAAAAGTTATGTGTTATGAGATATAATCCATTGATTTAGGTTCTTTAGATATTACTTTTTATATAAAATAAAATAAATTTTATATATATATATTAATGTTATAATATCTATAATATATATATATATATATAGAGCTTTTAAAGTAATGAATTTCTAAAATTAAAAAAAATTGTATTTTTGAAATCTATTTATTGAATACTATTGAAAAACATAAAAAAAGATTTATAATTTTTGATATTCCAATGCAAAGAACATCCAAATTTATAAAAAATTTTCAGAGCAATTCTCATTTTAAAATTATGTTATTTGTTTTTTTTTTTAAGTGGTTTAATATTGCAATATTATCTCAGTTCGGGACAGAGTTAGGACAAAAATGGAAAGAAATATATTAGTGGATGTTGAACATCCATTCATTGTACGACTACATTATGCATTCCAAACAGAGGGCAACCTCTACTTAATTTTAGACTTTTTAAGAGGTGGTGATTTATTTTCAAGATTAGCTAAAGAGGTATTCCATTTTTATTAAGAGGTATTTCATAATTATTTAAATTAATATGAATATAATACATTTCATATTATTAATATTATAATATCTCACATTATTAATATTAAGTTTTGTAATTGAATTGATTTATTTTTGTAATTATTGTTTTAGCTAATGTTTACTGAAGATGATGTAAAATTTTATTTAGCTGAACTTGCTCTGGCATTGGATCATATACATAAACTTGGAATTATTTATAGAGATCTCAAACCTGAAAAGTCTGTATTATATTTCACTTGTTAATAATTTAATTAATATAAAACTATATAAATATTGATACTTATTTCATTTTCAACAGTATTTTGCTTGATACTGAAGGTCATATTGCTTTAACTGACTTTGGTTTAAGTAAACAGCCTTTAGATGATTGTAAAGCATATTCATTTTGTGGTACTGTAGAATATATGGCACCTGAAATTGTAACTAGAAAAGGTCATTCATTTGCTGCAGATTGGTGGAGTTTTGGAGTACTTATGGTTAGTAATAATATGATGATTTTTTAATTTAATCATTTTTAAATAAATTCTTAACTTTTCTAGTTTGAAATGTTGACTGGAGCTCTTCCATTTCAAGGTGCAAATCGTAAAGAAACAATGACACAAATATTAAAAGCAAAACTCGGAATGCCGCTTAATATTTCACCTGATGCTCAAGCACTTCTTAGAGTATTGTTTAAAAGAAATCCTGCAAATAGACTGGGATCTGGTACTTCTTTATATTTTTCTAATATAAAAATATTTCCTTTACATAAAAATAGTTATTCTTATATTTATTCATTATTTTATTTTAGGTGGAATAGAAGAAATAAAAAACCATCCGTTTTTTGCAACAATCGATTGGAATGCTCTTTATCGAAAAGAAATAAAACCTCCTTTCAAACCAGCAGTTAGTCAAGAAGATGATGCATTTTATTTTGATAGTGAATTTACATGTAAAACACCTAAAGGTAATATGTTTTATTTAATTAAATATAATTTATATTACAAATGAGAAAAGTTAAATGTAAAAATAATTTTAGATTCTCCTGGGGTACCACCAAGTGCTAATGCTCACGAATTGTTCCGTGGATTTAGTTTCGTCGCCCCGTGCCTTCTTGAGGATCACATAAAAACTCCTGAATATAAAAACTGTGATAGCCTTGCAGCTACTTTTCCAACATATGTGAGCGCTGTTTCTGTGAGTGATGAATATGATTTTAAACAAGAAATTGGTAAAGGAAGCTATAGTACTGTTTATTTAGCAATTCATAAAGCTTCTAAAGCAGAATATGCTGTGAAGGTAATTGAAAAATCAAAAAGAGATCCAACGGAAGAAATAGAAATTTTACTCCGATATGGAAGACATCCACATATTGTAACTTTAAGAGCTGTCCATGAAGATGATAAACGAGCTTATCTTGTATTAGAATTATTACGTGGTGGTGAACTTCTTGATCGATTACTACAAAGACGTAATCTTACAGAAAAAGAAGCAGCTGAAGTGATGTACACAATAGTTAGTGTAGTTAATTATCTTCATGAAAATGGAGTAATTATCTATTCATTTATCATTTTTTAAATTTTGTATTGTATTATATTAGATTTATTGATTAATCTGATTAATTTATATAATCGATAGGTCGTTCATAGGGATTTAAAACCTTCCAATATATTGTATTCAAAATTGGGAGCTGATCCAACAACACTTTGTTTATGTGATCTTGGTTTTGCGAAACAATTACGAGCAGAAAATGGTTTGTTAATGACTCCTTGTTACACTGCGAATTTTGTAGCACCAGAAGTGTTAAAACGTCAAGGATATGATGCAGCATGTGATATTTGGTCACTTGGCGTTTTATTATATATTATGTTAGCCGGGTAATTATAATTAAAAATTCAACAATTATGTATAACTTAAAAACTATTACATTACATCATATTTTTTTAGATATACACCATTTCGCAATAGTCCTGGTGATAGTGCAACGGATATATTAGATCGTATTGGACCTGGTTATATTGATGTCGAAAGTGGCATATGGTGTCAAATTTCGAATGAAGCAAAAGAACTTGTCAAAAGAATGTTACATGTTGATCCTAATCGAAGGCCTACTGCAGCTGCCATATTAAAATATCCGTGGATTGCAAATCGTCATCGTCTTCCACAAAAAATATTACCTGAAAGTACTAAAGATCCACATAGCCTAAAGGTATATTTGCTCAATATGTATTTGAAATATATTCATGATTAAATTAATAAAATTAATAAAATTAATAAACATATTTTTAGATAGCAGTAGCTGCGACATATAGAGCAATGTCTAGCAGTCCAAGATCACCTCATATTGGTCCTGTTGTCATGTCCGAGTTAGCACGACGTAGAACACAAGCCAAGCCTATTGGTCCTACTGAAATTTGAAAAAAATTTAATTCTATTCTGTGTCGTTGAAAAGTAAGGAAAATTACGAATTATGTGATTACATATATAAAAGAACTATATTTTGTTGATATAAATCTAGTATTATTTGTGCAATGTTCAAATGTAGCTAGTATACTAATTTTATAAAAATACTCTGTTATTATATAACTTGCATCACCGAAATCATCTTTATTCTAATTATGATATGTGTATGTGTATAGAATAGGAAATATGTATTTAAATTCATATTTTCAATTTTAATATAATATAAAAATTAAATGTCAAAAAGAAATTTTAACTCTTATAATCTATATTGTACATGACTATCATTTAAATATTAAAAATAATATAAATATTTGTGAAAAAGAAATATACACTTATACACATATATGCATATATATATAAATATATATACATATTTAATATATATATTTTACAAATATTTATATTATATATATTTAATAAAATGTAAAAATGAATTATATCTATTTCAATTTTTGATCAATACTTTGTTAAATAAATTATTAATTGTATATAATAAAATAATTTTACTTAATTGAAATTAAAATAATTAAAAATATTTTTTTAAAAATATATATATTAAATTTGTAATCATATTTATATTATCATATATACATAAATTAAAAAAAAAATTATATAACTATTATTTAAGAAGTCTGAAAATTTTGATATTTTTTTGATTAGAATACAAATATAATGTAAATATAAAAAGACTTATAGTGTTATCAAAATAAATATTTTTTTACAAAAATTTCATTTCAATAACTTATAATTAATAAAACAAACTTAAATTATTGCTTTTATTTTATAAAATTAATTGCATATTTTGTTACACAAAAAACAAAAAAACAAAATTTGTATATAATTTGTAATATATTTAAATTGTTATAAATTAATTATGTTATAAATTAATATTGCAAAAAAAAAGTAAAAATTTATAGATACTGTAAAAATACATGATGAAGACAGAAATATTATTAAAAATTTTTTATCAGAAATGTATATTATTTATTTTTAAAACATATGGTACATATTAGTACATATTAGTACATAGTATATAGAATGTATATACATACATATGTATATATAATAATATATATTTACAATAAAATATATTTAATTTATAGTGCAGTAACATATGCGCATGTGCACGTTATTAAACGAAAACGTGGTAGCTGTTTGTTCCGCGGATTTCTGTGCTTTCTTGTATAAAATAGTCATAATATATTTTTCAGTAGTTTTTATTACTATATTATTCGTTTTTTGAATTTAGTTACCTACAAAGGTGAGATAGTATCTATACATATTAAATTTTCAATTTTTTCAAATTAAAAAAACGCAAAAGAATGATTATGATATCGTTAGTGAAGTTATTCTTATGCATTGATTTCGTTTTTCATTTAATGTGATTTGTGAAATTTAAATATATTCACTATAATAAATTAGATTTTAGAAACATAAAAGGTATTTAAATATTATAATATTATAGAATATTTATAATAATATAGAATATCTTTTTTTCAATGTTTTCTTATAACATACAACAACGTACAATATAACATACAACATAATTCATCACATTTTCCTTCAAAAAAATCAATATTTCGAAGATACTTCACTTTAATTTCATTATATAGTCTATAAAAATTTCAATATATTTAAAAAACAAAGATATAACAACAATTATTTACTTTTTATTTCTTACTACGCGTTTATTTATGTTCTAATTATAATGCTATAATTATAATGTTTTTGATGTTTTTGATCTACCATTTTTTCGGTTTTTATTAAATTTATCAAAGTGATTATGTCAATACATATTTGCACTTATATGATTTCTACGATTATATAAAAATTAATCGAATTATTAAATACGTGAAAATATGATATCACGTTCATGTTTTAGAACTTTAAAGTTAGGTATGAAGTGATTCAATTTATTCAAAAAATTCTAATTTTTGTATTTTATGAATTTATTATTATTACAAATTTAAAATTACAAATTATATTCATTTTTTAGGTGTTTATAATATGCTTCATAAAGGTCCATGTCCATTAGTTTTGTGTGGCCCTTCAGGAAGTGGAAAAAGTACATTAATAAAAAAGCTTTTTGAAGAATTTCCAGATACTTTTGGTTATTCTGTATCTCATACCACTAGAGCCCCTAGACCAGGCGAGGAAGATGGGAAACATTATCATTTTACTACTAAAGAAAAAATGCAAAAGCAGATAGAACAAGATGAATTTATCGAAACTGCTATATTTAGTGGAAATATGTATGGCACTAGGTAAAAATTTATCTTATATTATTAAAAATTAAAAAGGAATATAATTATATTATATATAATTTTGTTTTAATATTTTTAGTAAACGTGCAGTAGAAGAAGTACAGCAAATGGGTAAAGTTTGTGTATTAGATATTGAAATACAAGGAGTAGAGCAAGTAAAACGAAGTTCTTTAGATCCCTTATATATATTTATTAAGCCACCATCTATAGAAGAGTTAGAAAAAAGATTAAGAGCTAGAAAAACAGAAACAGAAGATGTTTTGAAACAAAGATTGTCTATTGCTAAAGTAGAAATGGAATATGGTAAAAATTATGGATTTAATGATCCTTAAAAATTTAAATATGTTTTATATATTTTTATATTAGATACAAACTTTATAAAATTATTATAGGTGAAAAAACTGGTAATTTTGACATAGTGATTGAAAACGATAATTTTTCAAAGGCATATAATATATTAAAAGAATTTGTGATGTCAAATTTGAAACAAGGATAAGCAGGTATAATAAATAATGTTTATATATGTGTTAAACAATAATATTTATATTCGTATTTTTAATATAGGATATTAAATTTATGCTTCTTAAAGATATACTCTTCTTTGAAATTAAATTATAATATTTTTATATATATATATATTTCTATGTAAATTATAATAATAATTAATTAATACATGATAAAATGCATAAACTCATGTTCAAAGATCAAATTAGTAGATTGAAGAATAAATGTAGGTAAATAATTTTATACAATAATAAGTTGATTTTAATATTGAAAGAGTAATTATAGCAGGAAGCTTCAAGTTTGTTATATGTATAGCATTAATGTAAAATTAATATCATTTAATTTTAAAAATATGATATCATTAAATTTTAAGAATAAAAATTTATAGCTGGGAATAAAACTACAAATAAAGAAATAAGGACAAAATGTTTATATAATTTTTTTGAATTCGATAATTAAAGAAATTATTATCAAGAATAATTGTATAGAATATAATAGTTATCAATTAAGTTATTTTTATAATTTCTTTGCAATTGTACACATATATATGTATAATTATATATATATATATACGTTTTATATAAGTAGTAAATTTGTATTACTTATATGTAGTATTTACTTATAACAGTAGGTTTTAAGATTATATCAAATCAATGGAAAACTTTTGTTATTTTAATACTCTAGTGTAACGTTCCTCAATCTTTTATATAATTCAATATATTAATTTATAATTATATCATGATCCAAATATTTATATGAAATTATATTATATATTTACATGAAATTTTTAAGAAGTTAAAAATTTTTTTAATTGGAATCATTGTTTATATTATATAAATAAATAAAATTATCATATGTATATTGCTTGCATATGTTTCAAGTAGTTTTTCAATGAATTGTAATTTTATGATCTATTAAAAATATAATGCGTCATAATATTAGACGTCGATTTATAAGTTGAGAAACGCTGCTCTAGTGAATATAGAAAGGTATAAAATAATTTTAGATTAATGATATCTTGCCAAATGTATATAAAGGACAGTCAATTTACATAAAGACTTTAATGCAGGCTAGATATCTAGAAAGAAATTTGCAAAAATTAAATATAATGTTTTAGATATAGTTAACTGAGACTATTCACCAGACGAAGTTGTGTTCCAATAGTGTAGATTACTTATAAAATACTTGTGGTTTTTGTCCTCGTCAATCATCGTATAATTATAATTATTGCACCATCCAAGATTCATTCATAAATTCAATTACACTTGAATATATCATTTTATTATTTTATTAAACAGAAAAGGCATTTGTCCAAACATTCCTTTAGCATTCATTATCAATTAAACATATTTGATATGTTTTTTTTATTGGAAATATTCTTGAAAAAAATTTGAAATATATTTTCATATTAATTGATATTAAAATTCATATCATGATCATTGTCATTCTCATTTTCTTATATGTTTTTGCATTATCAATTTATTTATTCGCAAATATTAACAAGTTGTTGCTTCCATGCGCATTACGAAAAAAAAAAAATCATATTTTCTTATATATGCGATGTTATTGCTTGTTAGTATGTGTATAGTTATATAAATATAACGATAAAAAGTTTAAATGAACAAAGCGAAATAAAATATATACACATATATTGTTATAGAAAATTGTATCATTGTTGTATCATATATTGAATAAATATTTCAATTAAACGATATTGAAAATATTTCTTTTATATTATTAAAATGTTTCTTTTATATTATTAATTTGAAATAGATGATTAAACATAATTATATTTTTTTTTGAAATAAGAATTATTTTTTTAAGATTGATGATGACGAGAATAATCGCGTTTTGGCCATTCCCCATGATGATGACGAGTCTTATGTTTAGGTACTTCGCTAATTTCGATGGATGTCACTTTAACATCCTTATTCTCCGCTGTTTTCTTCACCTCATTTTGAATCAAATTATCTCCATAATTTCTAGGTATAAATTCACTAATATTCTTTGTTTGAGATAAATTTTGAGCTTTATTTTGCGTAATAAGTTCTGGTTTTCTCGAAAAAATATAATTGATAACCTGAGGTCGCGGTGCAAAAATATTTTCTTTTGGATAAGAATCTATAATTGATTTTGAATCTGATGGATTCGCATCTTTTAACAACGGTGTATTTAATTGACTCGTTCTTATTGCTTGTATCACTTCTTGTTCTCGTGATGCTTTATTATCGTTATATTGAATCGAACTGATCGGTTTTAAAGTATCTCTGTTCGCAAGATCACGCGTTGTTAATCTTCTAATCGAATCTCTTTCATCCAATTGAATACGACTGGGCAAAGCTAAAGGTTCTTCTTGAATTTCCTCATACAGATCTCTTCTTAGACCTCGTTGTTGTTTCAAAGAATTCGATAAAGGATCGATTCGACGAATTTGTTGTTCAATTCTGTATCCCGGTTCAGGAACAATGATTCGACGATGAAAAAAAGAATCCTGATCTTTGACGCGATCTAAAAAATTCTCAAGCGTGTTCCAATTTTCCAAATCACGGGAAATTGCTCTTCTAGCTATTTTCGAAATTTCCTGTATATCCAAAGATCGTGTATTCGATTCAAGAGAGAAACGATCATCATTTTGAAGGATAGCATTTGTTGCACTGTTTTGATAATTGTCCAATTGAATATTGTTTTCTGGGTATGTGAGACGTTCAGAAGGTATTTGATAACTCTTTTCTAGGACTGCTCCTCGATCAAAGTAACGTTTCTCTTGATAGCTGCTGTGTGGTTCCTCATTGGTGTCTGGGTAATAAGCTTCATAGAATACCGGGCCTTTTTCAAGATCATAGCTCTCGTAACTTGGATAAAATGTACAGTTAATTTATTAAAAATAATGAATCTCGTTTTTAATAAATATTTTAATAAAGATTTTAATCAGAAAAAAAAGGAAAAAAAAACAATTGAGTTCCAATGAAAATAAAAAATTAAATTTTGATTACATACCGATGAATATCGGGATTCCAGGTAAAAACCGGCGTTACACCTGGAAAATAAAAAGCAATTATTTTATGTTAATATTGTTTCAGGATTTTTTGAAAATTGAAATAAGTAAACTGAATATTGATCGAGAAAAATACTTAATAATTGATTCGTTAATCATTATAATGGTCATTATCAGTTTTTTGAATGGCCTTTTAAGTGACATTAGGAAAACAATTTGTACGATAGGCTTTCTAGTTGTTTACATATGTCCATTAAAACGTTTTGACACTGTGAACATTATTAAAATAAATATTAAAAATTTATAATGTCATGGAAAAGATATTTTCGTTGTTATACAAAAAGTTTTTTCAATAATATTATATTAACATGCAACTATGAAAATTATTGTACAATATCGTGAAACAACATCATCGTTATAAGACTATTCAATGCCATTTATTGTTAAACAACGAAATTTTGGCAAACATTAATTCTTTTGTTTCTCTTTCAAGCATTTCAACGTTTTATTATTATATTGTGTATTCAATTTGTGTACATTTATTAATTCCAATTTTTGCATCCTACGCTTTTCTCCAAATATTTGAATTTTCCAAAAAATGTAACTATAGTTATCATATAAGCAGCTTTCACACTGCATGTGTTTTTCTTTGCTGTAAAGAAGGAAAGATGAAAAAGTTACATACCGAAGAAAATTGTTATGACTATTGTTGAAAGTAGACACTGTTTAAGAACCATGATCCTATCGCAACGACATGCAACTGAATCTCTAAGAGGGACGTTTGCGCGTATTTTCAGAGTTCCCTAAAATAAACCATCGTTTCCTTCAGGTCTCGTTGACTTGATTTTCGGAGGAAGAAAGACGGCTGGAAAGCTCGAAAGATTATGAACTATTATTCTTATGTCCCATGTGAATAACATTACATGTGAAATATTATTTCGCTTAATTGCAATTTTTTCGATGATTCCGCATGATGAATTAGTCAACTGAGTAACATGCACAATCAAAAAATATCGTAATTCGTGTTATTTGTTGATTCTGAAACTTTGATTTCTTGGAAGATATAAAATATCAATGTAATGATAACGTAAAACAACTATTTTCTGTCATAATTTATATTGAATTATGTTTCAAGTAAAGAAGTAGAACAAATTGATGAGCTTTTAGACAAATAAAAAGATTATTACCTGTACTATAATAATTGAATTTCTATGTATTATTCTATTATCTTTATTTTGATTAATTTTTTAATTTTTTAACGAAATCTTCGGTTCTTTAGAAAATTATATAAATAGAAAATCATCTATTCTTAAAATTAAAAAATTTGGCCCAAAAATAATAAGACCAAAGAATAAGTATATGATATAATAAGTAATATGAAAGAAAAAAAAAATATTTTTATAAAGAATAAAAATATCGTTGTTATTTTTATTAATTTTTCATTTTTATTTCGTTTTTCTATTTTCTATGATAAAAACATATTTTTTGCGCACTATTTTTCAAGTAACAGAAATAAAATTTAACTCTTGAATGAAGAATAGAGTATAACAAACTGTGGATATGGAAAATTAGTTATTTATAGAAATTGCGTCCGATTTATTAAAGTAAGTCAAATTTTCTATTATAAATATACATGTTCTATTGGATTGTTTTACAATTTCGAGATTGATAAATTCGAATACAAGTATTGTTAAATAATAAAATTTTTTTATTGAATTCTTAAGAGGAAAACTCTTTTGTATAAGAAATAATGCAATAAATAAAAAAAAAAAATAAATTGGAAATATTAATGTGGAAAAATATAAATCTATTCATCATTGAAATTAACAAAGTTAAGAGAAATGAAATTTAAAATGAATTTTGTTGAAAATATTTATACGTAACATAAATATTACATTAGAATAAAATATATAATATAGCATTATATATAACCTTCTAAAAAATTTAAATGTTATTAGATATTTTATGTCAATTGCAAACATATTTTCAAAACTCGAACAAATTTAATTTTTATATATGCAACATATAGACATATATATATCATATATTGGCATGAAATATTATTCTTATGTGGAAATCAAAAATACTATAACCAAATCCAATAAAAATTAATATACAATTAATTATTTCCTATGTTTTTTATTATTTATCTAAAATAAAAAAAATCTATATATATATGCAATGTAAATTATATATATTAACATTCTCATAACTATACAAGTGTTTATATTTGCCATTATAATTTATGAAGTAAGACAAGGAGAGTAAATAGCGAGAAAAGGATAGAGATAGGATAAAAATATGGAAATCAGCGCCATCTTCAGTGTGCCGCAAATGAAACACATAAAAAAAGGACAGAAAATAAAAGAAGAAGGATAGAAGATAAAGAAATGTCCACTAGCGCCATCTCTTTGAAAAACGCTCAAACTTGATGTCAGAACCATGCAAAAATCTTAAGCAGTGTCGCCATCTCTCCGAAAAATGCTGAAACTTGATGCTAGAAAATTTATCTAAAGACCTTAACCAGTGTCGCCATCTCTTTGAAAAACGCTCAAACTTGATGTCAGAACCATGCAAAAACCATAAGCAGTGTCGCCATCTCTCCGAAAAATGCTGAAACTTGATGCTAGAAAATTTATCTAAAGACCTTAACCAGTGTCGCCATCTCTTTGAAAAACGCTCAAACTTGATGTCAGAACTATGCAAAGACCTTAACCAGTGTCGCCATCTCTTTGAAAAACGCTCAAACTTGATGTCAGAAAGTTTATTTAAAGACTTTAACCAGTAACGCCATCTCTTCGAAAAACACTCAAACTTGATGTCAGAACCATGCAAAGACCTTAATCAGTGTCGCCATCTCTTTGAAAAATGCTGAAACTTAATGTTAGAAAGTTTATTTAAAGACTTTAATCAGTAACGCCATCTCTTTGAAGAACGGTCAAACTTAACATTCCTTAATATTCGAGAGATGGCGCTAGTAGAAAATTCTTATATATCTCTGTCCTTCTTCCACTATTTTCTGTCCTTTATTTTTGTGTTTCATTTGCGGCACTCTGAAGATGGCGCTGATTTCCATATTTTTATACTATCTCTGTCCTTTTCTCACTATTTACTCTCCTTGTCTTACTTCATAAATTCTAATGACAAATATTATAACACTTATGACAGTAAAATTATGAATCGAAAATTCAAGATTTTTTTAATAAAGGGAAAGAAAGAAGAAATAATTGTCTGTATATTTTTATATATGCTACGTATTTATTATTATACGTATTCTATGTACTAAATTCATAAAATATACATATATATATTTTTGTAATTTTATATGATGTACATATATTTTCTATTTCTTAATATAATTCCTGATAATATGATAACTTAAAAACTTAAAAAGATATATATTTAAAAATTAAGTATAATACAAGAATGAATATATATAGGAATGATATATATCAAATTATATAATCAGATTTAAATGATTAAATATTAAAATGATTGAAAATTGTTTTATTTTCGAAAATATAACAGTTTGAAAAGTAAGTATGTAAAAGATAAGCGTGTCTCTAAAATTAAGAAAACTGTTGAAAAAATATAACGTAAAAAGTATAATGTATAAATCTATTCGTTATTATAGGAATTCTTAAGCTCGTGAAATCCCCAGACAACTGTGAACGCGAATGAGATATCCATGCGGCGTTGAAACGACCTTGCATCGATCGGATCGATTCTCAAATATTTGCCATAATATACTTGTTCCGAATTTTCATTCTCTCTTTCTATTCTCCGAATTCGAAAATTCTGAATCGATTCGATCTGAATTGAATTGTTATCCATTGAAATTGATAGCGCATCGATATCGTTATCGTTGATAACGATCGTCCCTTTGACATCTTGTACCACGATTTTCCAATCGTCCCTGTATCTGATTAAAATCCTGAACGATTATGTAGAACCATGCGATTCGTCATGTCCCATCTGCTATTCGACGATGATGATGAATTAAACATTAATGGTATGGCGTTTCATTTCTATATTTTATTATAGATTTTTCCCTTAACACATACGATCGTTTCGTTTTAATTTATATTCGCATATAATTCTCCCATATTTTTCTGTAAAAAAAGAAAAAAAAGGAATTTTTATCAGAGGAAACATGATGTATATACGTAACGTATAATAATATTTTATTTTTAAAAAAGCGAATCAAGATTTGGTTGAAAGAAATCTGTCGCAACGAATGATAAAAAATGTATAAACTTTACAAATATAAAATATACGAATTTTTAATACCTCTTTAAATCTCTTTTTAATACGGCTGTATTAAAAATTGTTATTAATATTTGAAAATTATCATGGGACATCATTTTTCTTTGCTAAGAATAATTTCCACAGAAAAAAAAGAAAAAAATAATGAAATACAAATTGAGATCTATAATATAATATAATCTGGCGATGGTTTATTAAAAAATAAATAAATAAATAAATAAATTACGAATATATTCCATAGCTCTTCTTTCTATCATAGTAATCGTCTGTCCAATTCAACTTCAACGATTGGGATCTCCATCGTTCTACACATCAATAGCACATCCTCTGCACTTCCAACGAAACTAATACATATCTATTAAAACGTAATTCGTTCGAGAAACGAATGGAGAAAGATAATATTTACTATCCGTATATATCGATTTAATACTCATCGATCTTGCATTTTATAATAATATTTTCTCTCCGTTTATAAGAAAGAAGATTCATCGTTCGTATTAATATCCGCATTTCCTCTTCCCTTCCATCTTCTTCCATCTTGATTCTACCTCGACTCTCTTTGTTCCGTGTTTCAGTTTATAATACACTTTGTACTTGGCGAAAGTTTGACAAAGTTTGTCGCGGGGAAATATGAATTTGTCGTGCGTTAAAAGAGAGACGTTAAAAAAGAAATTTGATAAAATTCTCGTAATTTTAGAATATTCGAAAATCTTGAAATCTTTTCAAAGTAAAAACTTATCTTTCCTTCCTTCGTCGAGCACCGTATAATCCGAATAATGGGGTCGAGTATTTATGATAAAAAAAAAAAAAAAAAAANAAAAAAAAAAAAAAAAAATAATAATAATAATAATAACAATAATAATAACCAGCATTATTATTACCTCGAACCGTTTAAAACGAAATTGCAACTTTAGATGAGATTTTATTGAAAAACTTTTCCATTTGAATCATCCTATAGGTCACTGTTATTGGGAATCATGCTATCAGGGAAATACTAATGGGAATAGTAAAGAGATTACAAGTTTAAATTAGATTCTGTAATATGACTCGAAAATTCTTCCATTTGAATTATTCCACGAATCACTGCGTTCCGGTAATAATAATTACAAATCGATATGCAAATTTCCGCCCCTTAAATTGCATCACGGATCACACGGATCGTTCTAAATAATTACTTAATAGCTTCTCAAACAACCTCTTCGAGATATCGCAGAAAAAAAAAAAAATAGATTCGAAAGTTTATTCTCGAAATTTTCGAAATCCAAAAAACGTAAAAATCACTTTCTTCTTTTTTCTTTTTTAAAGAATTACCCATTTTAACAAGAATTAAAATTTAAAAATTATTGGAGAAATTGTTCCCAAAACTCGAAAATAAATCGTGGACAGGGATGGAATCAACCAGGGATCCTTCCAATGTATTGCAAATATTTACATCAATCCCTTTTAACGATAACAATAATCTTTCTTTCGAATATGAGCTCCACCCGTAAATATCCTTAAGCGCTTTAGCCCTCGAATGCAAATAACACGCGCTACGTAGAAGCGTCAACGCCATGGAAATAGGCAATCATGCCTTGTTTACTCCGTATCCCTATTTATCCATCGTCTTTTCGAGACAATTCACCCACCCTCGTTCGATCAAAAACTTGGTTGGCTTGATTATCCCAGTCCTCCTCGATCGTGCGTGTCCCTTGTTTGCGTTTCCAATCGTATAGAGCTCTCGTATTTTCTTCGAATTCGAATCACGCGCGCACGAGAGAAACAGGGCAGGATCGGGACACTCAAGGATTGTCGAAATATATCGAAATTTATCTCGGGGAAAAATTTGTATTTAAATCGGTCAACGTGACCAAGTTTATGATTAGGTTTCGAATTAAATTGGGGCCAAAAAAAAAAAAAAAAAAACACGTGGACTGTGTAATCCATTTTCTGGAAGAAACGGAGAATTGTTATTCTGGGATTAAAAAAGAAAAAAAGGAAAAAAGGGATCCGGTTAATAAAATTCATATTGAATCATCGCGAGGACGAAAATTTTTGTTGTTAATGTTAAGGAGGGAAGGTTTTGAGGGAGATAATGGAGGATGAGATAAGGGTAAAGAAAGATTCTTTTTTTTTTTTCTTTTTGAGAAAATGAATACGGGAAGGAATAAAAATAAAATCTGAAAAATTGAAAATGTTCGATATTAACGCGTACACGATGTTATATATTTAGAATACGTAGAATTATTATGTAAAAACCCGATTATTGTTGTTTATGAGCTGTCGATTAATAATGTCGAGCGATTATTTCATACCAGTCTCTCTCTAATTTTTAAACGAGCCAATATATTTCACACTCGTACACCGGTTACTTTGATCGATGAGATATTTAATTACTACGGATTATTCAGCGAATTTTGCCGTATTAAATTCCATTTAAGCACGGTTAAAGAAGTGACATGCAGCGATTCAAATTAAATTTAATTACTCTCTTGTCATTCCCTTGTATTCTTTAATTAAAATCCGTATATCTCTTAGAATTGGTAGGGCGAGTAGAGGTTGGGAAGGTTTAATTAATTTTTATTAAATTTATTATTAAGGTTAAGGTTAAGTATCTGCAAATATTTCCCAATCATTAAACGAAATCGTTCAATTTTCAAGAGATGAGGAAATAAAAAAAATTAATTAAACGAAAGTATCTTACCCGAATTAACGATGATACAATAATGACAGTTGGGAAGAATGAAAGGGAAAAAATATAAGAGAAAGAGAGAGAGAGAGAGAGAGAGAGAGAGAGAATTCTTGACAAATATCCTATGGAAACGAGCGAGATAATATTCTACTTTCGAACTTAATGATCTGTCGAAGCGTGGCAAATGAGAGGGGAAATGCTTGCCCGATTTTCTCGAGATAAACACAGCAGGCAGAAATAAACGGATGAAAATCGTATAAAACCTTTCCACCCTGTCACAATAAAGTTAGCAAAATTTAGTTAGACGCAAATCTGTGTTTCGAAAGTGAAAAAAAAATTGGAGAGAAAAAAAGGATACGAAGATTCTTTTTTTTTTTTTTCGATCTTCTTTCATTCGTGTTTCATTTTCAACCTTTTACCACTTTTCTCGATTATCCTTTAAACGGAATAATTGTTACGTAACGTCTCGCGTTAATGCAAAGGAGTATAACTGCTCGATTTTTCACTTTTCTCTTTCCCCTCTTTTACCCCTCTTGAATCACCCACGTTCACGCACGTTCGATGGTTGATTGAACGAGAAAAAGATAATTAATCGAACGAATAAGGAGAAAGAAAGGAGGGGGGGGAAGGGGAAGAGCAAATGCACGCGTTTATTTCATCGAACGTTTCTTTCACTCCAGTCATGTTTTTTTCTTTATTTTTTTTTTTTTTTTTTTTTTTTTGCATCTACACCGTCGATCATTTTTTTCCCCTCTCGTTTTTCACATTTTCATTCGATATTTATCACGTTTGATCGAGCGAGTGGAGAAAAAAAAAAGGGAGGGGGGGGGGAAAAAATATAATATAATTCGATTCTCGTGTTTGATATCGGATAATAACCGATGATTTAAAATAAGATAGATCTCTTCATTTTTTTCAAGATAATTCTATATTCATTCTTGACAAACGTGGATACGTTGATTATCGTGGATACACGTCAAATTGAATTACGTATGTATTACGGAAGAAAAAAAATATAGAAATCGTTCAAACAACGTCCCTTCTTCGATTCAACTCGATATCATTTAAAGGCGATTAAAAAAAATTTTCCAGAAAAGTTTTAAAGGAGGTTACGAGGTAACGATCACTTCTTTTTAAAAACTTTTATTTTCCCGCCATTTTTCACGAAACGACTCGCGTGACCTAAGAAATCAACGAATAAGTCGTTCATCATCGTTTTTCGCATCGTCAACTTCGGGGAAAAATTAGAAATAACTGTAATCAGCGGTGTAAAATGGTCGCATTTATCGATCCGGTTCGTCGTATAGGATGATTTACGATACGATTCACCGCTCGGATATCTTTTTACTAGCTAACCTAAATCATTATAATCACAAGTTTTCAATCTTTTCGATTTTAATCTTCGATCACCTTTCCTCCTATAGGAACTTCATTTTTTCCTATATATGAACAGGCGCACACGAATATTCTCGCTCCGGGTTTTGAGAAACAACTTGCATATCCTATCCAGTTCTTCGCGTTACCTCTTCGCTTGCCGAACCGTAGTCCTTCCTCTCTCTTCTTTTTTCTTTTTCTCTCTTTCTCTTTGGAATTAATAATTAACGATCCACGATTTGTACACATCGGTAACAAATGATCGTTGTGGAATATAATTAATCGACGATCTAATCGTTATAAATAACGAAGAAAAGTATTAATAGAACAAAAGTTTTCTAATCTTACCTGTAACAAATGATCGTTCGTAATACCGTTATAAAAGAAATTTTAAAATAGAAATTTTCACATTGGTTGGACAAGTTGAATTCACTTCGGAAGTGGCGGAGTTTATTAAAATCAACTCGATCGAAATCGATTTCTTCCATCTTTGAAGTAATCAACCAGCTGGAACTCCCTTCCAATCTCCTTAAAAAAAAAAAAAAAAAAAAAAAAAAGAAAAGTAAAAAAAAAGCAAGGGATGAGATCGATAAGAAACGAGAATCGCAACGAGACACGAGAGAGATGCGTCTGATATACGTTTTCTTCCTCGCCTTGATGAAACCTTGCTCTTCGACGAGGCACTCCTGGTTCCACGATAAATTCGAGAATATCGAGAATAACCACTTATCCGGGCGAAAGATTGAGAATCTCGGGCTGGTGTTGAATTTTATTCGCCAATCCCCCGAGTTCCAACCCCTCACCATCTCCGTCATATTGACGAAATTTCAATCGGCCCCCATCGAAGCTGTTCTCCGATATATCAGAGAGAATTCGATCCAGACGTATAAAGTGAGCACCACGGGGGCACCTGTTAAATCCTGTTGTTGGAAGAACAACGAATTGGAAGGAATCACTTGGTTATTCACGATCGACCATTTCGACGTCATCCTCGTTTATCGGGAATGGCACGTTTGGAACGCGAATAATCAATACTTGATCGTGTTCACGGGGAGATCACCGATAGGGATCGCACTCTGGAGGGATATTTTCAAAACGTTGTGGAGGCGGTATCACGCTTACAGAGTGATAGTCGTCTCGGCCGATGACGATTTTCGTTGCATGCTCAGGTATAAACCTTTCGAGAGGTACGAGGAGGGGTACGGTGTCGTGTACAAAACGTGTTTGGGTGAAGGTTCGAGGGTTCAAGGGGGAAGGTTCAACAACGATTCGCGATCTAGCTCGCGAAACGGAGGAGAATCGGAGGGTTGGGGTGAGATTCTGGAAGCTGGGCAAGGAGGGGGTGCGAGGAGGGTGCTGTTCGAAAATTTTCAAAATTTGAATAATTATCCCGTGAACGTGTCGGTGTTCGAATCTATACTTATGAAAATTTCGTACGATCGCCGGAACAGATTGAAACTGGATAAAATAGACGCGAAAGCGTTATTCGTTCTCGAGAAGGCTATGCGCGCTAGCTTCAACATCAAAGCGGTGAGGAAGAGAAACATCAAGCGAGATCCATTCTCGTTCCTGATCAAGGACATAGAGGGTGGTATAACCGACATGTGCATCACGGGATTTTTCGTCAAGACTTACGACCGTTTTCAAAAGTTTCAATTCACACCCTCGATGTACGAGGACAAGATATGCTTCGTGATGACCAATTACGGCTTCATACCGAACATGTACGTGTTCTTCTTCCCTTTTCGAGCCCACTTGTGGCTCGTGTTGATAATGTACAACGTCGTGATCACGTTGTTATGGCGGTTTGTAAGGTATCTAAGCTCGTCGTTCCGACGTCGGCCGCCATCTTTCTCGAATAATCATCGTCGAGGTACGAGGATTATCGAGAAAAGAACGAAGATTACACGTGTTCGAGGGGAATCCGTTTGGGATTCCGTCGGGGGAAAGCCACCGGAAATTCCTCGGATAGTGGAAAAATTCTTCGCTTTCTTCGAATACCTTTGCTATCCTATACGGGACAGTGAATACACGGCCGAAAGAGCTCTGTTGACCGGCATACTTTTCTTCAATCTGATTATAAGCGGTTTGTATCAAAGTTTCCTGGTTTCAAGCTTGAACAAACCTTTCCATTATTATCAGTATCGCACCGTGGACGAGGTGGTGAGATCCGGGAAGACGATGATCACCAAGTACGAGAACTTGAAGCAAGCGTTCGTTGGCTCCGACCTGTGGGAGAAAATTCAAGTGATCGAGTTTCAACGATCGACGAAAAATATCGTGTTGGCCGAGGATAAGATCTCGATGACCAGATTGTACAATATGCAACTATTACCTCACAGATATTACAACGATCGTGAAAAATCTTCGTTGTACATGGTGGACGAGTGCGCGATGACTTATAGAATTTCTTACATTTTGAAATTGCATTCACCGTACGCAGAAAGGGTTAATTTCGTGTTGTTGAGAATGGCGGAGGCAGGGCTGCCCGAACACTGGATAGACGAGATGAAGTACTTCGTTACGTTATATAACAAAGGAGGGACGGAAGATTTCGTGAAAATACACAAGTTGTCCCTCGGCTATTACGTCTTGGCTTTTTTATTGTTGTTCATCGGTCTGCTTTTGTCCACCTTGATATTCTTTTGCGAATTACAAGCCGCGAAACGGAATAAAAAGAGACGTTAGAAATGTTTAAAATGAAAAGAGTTTATATTTTTCTTTCTTTCTTTCTTTCTTTCTTTCTTTCTTTTTTTTTAGCGGGAAATTTAAATTGATGAATTTAAATCACTGGCAATTTTAAACGCGTTGTGCAATAAAGAAGTTTTATCGTTGTAACGTTTCTTGGAAATTTTTCCACGCGAATTTATTCGAACTTTGTTCCCAAGTTTTAATTTTTTTTCATGGACGACGAGAGAAAGAATTTTTTAATATTCTTTTCGTCTCCTTTCGTTCGTTTTTCCTTAACACGCCTCTTTGGTTTATTTCAACTGAAAATCGTTAAATCGGAATATCTGAGAGCGGGGCAGCTGGTTATCATCTGCCGAATCAACGATGATTAGTTATTTTCACTTGAATCCTTTTCCTTGCCGCTGAAACACGCGCGGCCTTATTTATTATTAAATTCAATTCGTCCACTTGACACGATACGAAAAAAAAAAAAAAGAGGAGCTTTGTTTGATTTAAAAAAAGAAAATTTATACGTTTTTCATTATTAATGAAGAAACAAGAAAAATATATTAAATAAAAATATATAATATAATTAAATAAAAATAAAAAAAAAATTACTACGTTGCTTTTATTTTAATAAAATCGAAAACGATTTGAATAACAATAATAATAAAATTATTAATTACTTATTCATCTTATGAAGGTTGATTAATTATTAAACCACAATTTTATAATAAATCTGATAAATTATTAATGCGAGATAATTAATAATGTACATTAAAAACAAATCGATATTTGGATGTAAAGAATAAATTATAAATCAAACTATTTTGAATTTCGATAAAATTACCTAAACAGGACTTGTACCTCGAATTAATATTCAAAGCACGTATTTCATTTCTTCGAAGAAGATGCTTCACCAAATGCGATTAAGTTGTACCTGTTTGTGTTACGAAAGTATTTGTTTTTTTCGTGGAAACGATTGAATCTTATCACAAATCAACTTAACAATAAGACCACAAGAAATGTATTTTTCTTGAAAAAAATATTCCTTTTCAAAAAATCCGCGCAATAATTATGTTAAATTCTGTTTTTTCATAACAATAATAATTTTTCTTCGTTTCTTTGTAAATAAATTTATAAAAATATCTATCGATTTGAATGATTAAAAATTATATAAATCTCATTATTTATTTTTCGAATAGGATCTCTAATTTTTAGTTCTTTTTTAATTCGTGTAAAAATACAATTGAAATTACGCACAGGTGGAATTTTGAAAATACTTTCTTCCTTCCTTTTCCTTCAGAGTTGGTCGGTAAATGAGAAAATTTATATTACGGAGAATAATTATTAATATTAGCGGTGAAAGACAGAAGAAAGAATAATCTGGAATTATTCTTAACGAAAATTTTAAACAATAGAAAATTTTTTGAAAATTGTCTCTTGATTTCTTTTCTTTTCTAAATGTTATATCATACGTCGAATAATTGATCAAATTGCTTCTTAACAAAGATATTAAAGATATTTTTATTATAAAATTAAATCGTTCGTAATTTTGAAGATAAATTAATCATTCAATATTAATATATTTGCAGAAACTTTTATCTAAACGTTTAAAAGTTCTCCATGTTTAATAATACGTGTATGAAACTTTTATATAGACATTATATACAACAAATGGAAAAATATATATTTATAATAGAGAAAAAGTATCGATATTTGATATACTTTATGTAAAAATAAAAATACAAAATTACCGATACAACAATAATTTCAATAGAAAAATTTAAATATTTAAATTTTTATTAAATTCTAAAGATTTGTATCGGAAATAGAAAGCGTCCTTTCGATTTTTAATATAGTTTTATATCGTCCTACGGTTGAGGGTATAACGTAATAAAAATTCCTGTCACTACAAAACGAATGAAACGTCAAATATTAAGAGTATCGCAGAACGAATGATTATTTTTTTGTACAAATTATCTGCTATTATATCAAACAGTGGTTCTGTCTTTGGAGAAACGAATGTTGTCCTTTGAGTAGTGTCAAGCGGATATACGTGATTATATTTGTGACGTTTTAGTAAATTTTAGATATAATGCTTTGAGAATTACGAAATTACGATGAGACCGCATTCCGTCCAAGATAGATCAGATGAAATTGCTATTCCTAGCGATGTGGACATTATGTTAATGAAAATTTTCCATTATGATCGTGAAATTATGATCGTCTTTTGCAAGAACGAAATTCTTCTCTTTATCGTCCGATCGTCTGTGTAATGTGTCTTGACAACGATTATATCGAAAAGTTAGAATTTTCCACATTATACGTATAATCTAATGTATCACTATAAAAAAAAAATCATAAAATTTAGGGAGAAAAAAATGAAGAATAAAAAAAAAATTATTCTCGATTTTACTTTTTTATTGACAAACGACGAAAATATCCGATGGACATCAGCAAACCTTTCTACGCGAACGAATGAAGAGTAACTCAAATAACAAGGAGCACAGTGATCTTCAAACGCAACGATATTTATCGTCTTCTAAATTTAATCAACTAGATAACGAGGTATTAACACATGCATACATAACAATATTGAAATAATATTTATAATACTTTACCTATTTACTGTCCATCCTATAAAATATAAAACCGTGAAATATATCTATATTATCAATTCTTTGTATTATAACAACAAATCGATTATAAAATTAAAATTACAAAAAAAATCACGAATAACACTTCAAACACTTGTATAAAAAACAGAAAAAGAAACTGAAAATTTGTCGATCAAAATCTACTCGAGAAACAGTGGAAACCATACCATTGAAATTGCTTTTTGTTTCATCCCGATATCTCGATTGGTTGCCGAGATATAAGGATTTGTAATTTCTATAGCGCTTGAGACGGTGCAGAAATTATGAATGGGCCCGCGATCCAATGACCTATATTTTTTCCTCGAATTACGTACTACGTTCGTAAGGTATCTAAGAAACGCGTCTGTCGCTTGTCTGCAATTTGGGACAGGTCAGTTAGACGAGGCGCGAGCGAGAGATCCGAGTAAGCGACAAGGACGGAGATGGTAAATGGTTAAAAATTACCCTTCTCTTTACACGACGATATCTCGAGAACCGGAAGTCGTATCGGGATAAACGAAAAGGCATTTTAAAGGGCAAGGTTCCGCGCTTCTGATGAGCTTTCATTCGTTGACCGGAAGTGACTATCTTCGGAGTTATAACGGTTTAAAGTTTTCTTAATTTTAATCGAGATTTAAACGAGTTTTCGAGATTAAAACATTTAAATTATGCGATTTAGATACGTTTATTTTTGAAAAAAATATTACTTATAAGGATATAATCATTTTTTGTAACCTTTTTTTCTATAATTTATATAGGAAATAAATTGGTGAATTTGAGGATCACTGATATGTCCTACGTTCGTTCATTCGTGTCAGAGATTTGTTCGTGTCCAGGAGTATTTTTGTCGATTTTCAATTGTCAATAAAAAATAAAATTGAAAATTCAACTTTTTTTCTATCGTTGAATATTACTTTGAAGAATAATATCATATATTTGAAGAATCACGTCTCAAGTTTTTGAACATATGTAACCAAACACTCTGTGTATTGGTTTATTGTATGGAAAAAAATCGATATACAGTACATGGACCTTGTCGACTGAGATTTGCGATGCGCACACAGTGGACACGTTAAACATGCTCCATTCTTTTTCAAAATCTCGAGAGATAAAATCAGACAAAACGATCCATCGTTCCATAACGAACTCTAATACGCTTTTAATATATCGTGAAAAATATTCTCCAAAACAGCATCTTTTTGCTATTCATATCGTTCTTACATGTACATGTACACACGAGAAATTTTCTTCTATTCCTTTTTCATCGAAAAATTGTGCAAAGAAAAAACGGATCGCAGAAAAAGGTTGATGGCGTTGAAATCGATTGCGTTTAGTTTTTAACGATCTGAAAGTGCTCGTGAATATTTATAGCGAGAGAAAAAAAAATATTATATTTTTATCCATCAAAGTGTAAAAACTGTTACTATAAAATTTGAAAAATTAAAAATCTAAAAAAAGTTTAAAAGTTGGATCTAAGTGTATTAAGAGTGTATACGAAGTTAACCATTAATTAATCCGGATAAATAGTAATTTTAGCTTTTAGATAGGATTTACGTTTCCTTTTTATTCCTTTATTTAGGCAAAATTACGTAAAACTTAATATATTATTATTACTTCGAATGAATTTCTTCTCTTTCTCTTATTCGATGGAATAACTTTCAGGAATCGTCATTGAAATTAACTTTTGAATAGAATAATTTTTAACTTTATCTGTAATTCTTAAATAAAAATTCTTCGCGTGTCAAGATAATAAAAGAAAAAAAAAAGTATCATTAAAAAATGATATTACGTTGGCAAAAGATGCAAAGCCTATTAAATTTAGCATGGAACAAGAATGATTTAAGTTTAATTTTCTGGAAAAGATATTTCCACAGGGGATGTATAAATATGTATTATCGTGAAAATCCACGTAGAATGAGATGACCAGTCGATTTCGATTCGTAATTCTCGGAACGATTTCCTACTTTTATAATGAATGAATGCGATCGGAGAATTTCTTTTGGATTTTGTTAAATTCAGAATAAATCCTGTTTACAGAAATTTAAAAAATTAATTACAATTACACGTTGCCAAAGAGAAATATTTCTCTCTATAAATTGATCGAATCATTATGTGATTCATTATTTGATTTATTTTAATCAAAATTTTCACCATGTGTAAATATAACAAAATTTCGTTCAAATTATATTCGCATAATAAATATTATTATATATAAAAATCGAATTAAGATAAATATCATTTTTGATATTATAATTTTTATATTTCTAAGATATACGTTTTAAGATTATTCAAAAATGAAGATTATAAAAATTGTTCGTCAAAAGCTGTATTATCGAGAACAATTTCGTTTCTTATCTATATATATTCTTTCTAAAAGACAAAAAAATATGAAATGACGCGTTTTTTTTTTTTTAAATTTTCACGTCCCATTTACTTTGCTTCACCCTTTGGTGGTGAAAGGGAAAAGGAATGACACGTTGGAGACACAATGATTTCCACTTCAGTTATCGCTTTTTACATTCATTTCGAACATCCCTTTGAGCAAACGGGCTTAACCAACGTCAAACGTTGTTTTGCCGATATTCGTAGATGAATACGATTACGCTGGTGGCCAGTCCAAGGTACAATATCCCGAAAGGGATAAACAAATGTCGAATCGTGATCTTTCGATGTATCGACGAGTCATCGAGCGTCATCATCTCTTTCCGTTTTAACGATTGGTACATGGCTTGGTACCAAATCTTATAGAAACCACCATTGTTCAACCTGAGAAGGATGGTGTTTATACGTCTTCCGAAAGGTGATCCTGAAATTGCATTTTCCGATTCAACACTTGAAGAATATTTTTATTTACGAATTTTACAAGAGTAGCAACAAATAATGAAATATTTATATAAAAATATAAATATATATATTATAATATTTATATATATATATATAAAAGGAAAATAATTTTAGACACTTTATCGATTAAATTCTGAAGGCGAAAAAATGTTCGATATTTTATAAAGAAAATACCTAGTTGGATTCTGTGCATTTTTAAGGATTTGACGAAATACGTGTAGATGCAATAGAATGTGATGAAACGAGGATTCGAGTTAAGAATGGTTAAAAAGAAAGTAGAACAAAACAATTATACATAGTCAAGTAAATTATGAGGTTGTCAGTGGAGAAATAAAACAAGTTAGTCGTGTTTACTTGACTAGTAGGTTGAGACAATTATGGCTGGAATAAAATGATAAAACAATGATAATCAAATGATCGAATAAAATAAAGTTACGGGTAATTTCATTACCTTTCTTCATCACATTGGCTATGATGTAATCCTTTGGACACTCTTTGACGACGTGCAACGTTTTCCTCTGGTATTCGTCGTATTTCAACGGGAGGGTTGCGATTCGGTGAAGATAGCCAGCATCCCTCACCTCGAACAACCTTCTATGAACTTCCGATCTGTTCGCGTATTCCAATCTCTCGTGAAGCCGTTTAATCAACGGTGATGTTACATCGGTGAACGCGTCGCTTATGACATCTTTGGCGTCGGTTAAAATCGTGATCCCTACGAATAAATTAAATCAGAAGGAATAAAAATTCCACTTACAACGGGGATAAAAAAAAAAAAGAAAGAAAAGTAATCGAGACGTGAAGTAAGAACCGCTTTTCTCCAACTGTTCCAACGTGTTAATGTCTTCGTAGTACATTCGTTTGCTGAAACTGGAGGCAAGTTGAGATGTGATTATTCCATTGAGGATCAAACTGAGAAGTAGACTGCATAACAGCAACAATCTCTCCGGGAACCATGGTTGACCCAATTTAAAGGGTTGCATAAGCTGAAATACCACCTTCATTAAATACCGTGCCAACGTTATCAGAAGGGACAAAGAGGCTCGATCGAATCGTTTCGAGTCGTTTTTCTTCGTATTGGATGCCATCGGTCCGACGTTTTCTGATCCATCGAACAGGAAAAAGTTGTTAGCAAAACGAGGATATTTCCTGGAATAAAAATCATTCTTGTATTCGTTGTGCAAAGATTCGCGTAATAAGATTTGCGAAAATGTATGAAGAGAAGAAGAGAGGTAAAAATAAACAGCTCTTTTTATTACAAACATTTAGTGAAAATTTTATCGAAAACAGGATAGAGTTAAAATATTTAAAGAACTATGTTTCTTAAACAGAGTTGTCGCAAGTTGAATAAAATTAAATATTTTTTCGTCAAATATCAATAATTTAATAAGAAAATTCTCGAATTTTAAATATTCAAATTTCCACGATAAAAGCTCAACCCATTTTCTATTCGTATTAATTCCATCGTATATTTCTCTTCTACATACTTTGTGTAAATCCATATTTTTATTCAAACAATGGTTACGCAAATAAAATATTCCTCCTCCTCTCAAAACTCGACTCGATAATCCGTCATGATTTTTTTTTTTCTTTCGCTCTGATGAAATCTTTCAAAGGCGAAACCTGGTATTATATCATACGATATATATATATATATATATACCTGGTATTTCCATCGTTCACTCGCTCGTCTTCCTCGTACGATACCCCCTCGCCCGTTTCTCGAACAACGTTGAACACGACACCGTTTCGATCCTCGAGAAAATACGAGTCGGGAATATATTCGCAGCAGAAAAACGCCTGGCCGCTTTTCCTCACAGCCTCGAGCATATTTCGATACTTCTCGATCTTCAAGATTGTGTAAATCATAGCGATGACGAAATGGGCGGCGAACACGAGCAACCATGCCCTCCCCGTGAAGATCTTGACTATCACGAGATAATCGGGCAGGGGTGCAGCTTTCGGTATAAGAACGCACAATTTGTCACTCGTAATTGACGCGGTGAACTCAAGCTGCCTGGTCATATAATCCTTGACGAAGAATTGATTGAACGAGACGTCCGCAAAACCGTATACCAAGTGTCCAATTGTCCCGAAGAACGTGCCGTTCTCCTCCCAACCGAATCTATCCTTCGACTTGATCAGGGAACGCGTCACGTTCATCTTTTTGCAAACCTCTTCCAGATACTTGAAATCCAAACCGAAATATCTCCCCTCCTTGAAAGAGATCGTGCTCGTCTCGAAGATGGATATTTTCAACGGGTATCGTTCGAAGTCGATCCTCTCCTCCTCGAACAGATCGGACACGTCGGTGATGTTCGGCCCGTCGATCGATAGAAAACCACCCTCCTCGCTCGATTTATTGCAATACCGGTCGCAACCTCCGTCATACCTGGCGCGAAGCCTGTTGTAATCGAAAGGATCGTATCGGATCACTTTATCACCGGTGAACAGAAGCAGCTTGTACACCCTCCTCACCCTCCAAAGCCTCTCGAACGCCCACTGGCAGAATCGTTCCTGCTCGAACGAGCTGATGGACGAGCGCCCTTGCTCGCGAAGTATGTAGAAATTCTCCGGATGCCAGAACGAGATCAAATGGGGCGAGCTGAGGATATCTTTGAGATGGTCCACGGAGGAGAACAAGAGCAACACGCAATTTTCACTCTCTATCGTTCGATAATCGCGCCTTCTGTCCTTGTTTCTAAGAGATATTAGATGTTTCAAAGTAACCAGTTTGGTGGACACGTTTAAATCGATCAGCATTTCAGAGGGGATGTCGAGGGGGGGCCGTTGGAAGTCGTAATCGTCGAACACCACGGTCAGCATCTTCGTGTGACTGGTCCTGGCCCATTTTTCCAGGAAAGGGTATAGGTTGGAATAGCTGTCCGATTCGTCAGACTTGGATAATTTGCAGGCGACGTGGAAAAGGATGGTTAGAGGGAGCAGCGTCGTGAGAAGTAGCTTGGACATTGCTTTGAAAGAATCGTGTTCCCCACGAGTCACGTCCTGCGAACAGAATTGGATTTATTCGTGATAGAATTTTCGTTCGAGGAGGGCTCGAAAGAATCTCCAAAGTTTTCGATTCTTTGATGCGTAGGTGGAGATTCGATTTATTGTCGTATCGTATATTCTTATTGTCTCTTATTTCGTTATATATGGTTGTTGTGCGATACGGATGAAACAATTTTATGGAATAAGCAAATAATAATGTTCGTTTACTTACATTATATATCTTAGAATATTTTCTTAGTGTGGTTAATTTTAGTGAGAATGTTAACCTATAAGGTATTACAGTTAGGATCAGACGACAGGATTCGTAAAATTTTTCTTGTTAAATTTCATCTACTTACTTTAATTATTGGATTTTTTATTACTTTATGAAAGAGGATTTATTTAAAAATTTTATTAATAATATCGATTCCTTGTTTTAAACAAGTACAATTATTTTAAATCGCATTTATTATATTCGAAATAAATTTTGTTCCACTCGATATTTTAAATTAAAAAATTAGATTATTAAAGTTTCCTTTTAGTTTTAAATTATCGAAGAATTTTCGAATTTTTGAAGGATCGACTTGGTACGGTTTGATTGACTTTCAAAGTAACACAGGATTCGACAGGGTCGTGTCAAAAAATCTGGCGCGTCGAAATGTCGAATCCAGGACTAGGAGGAGTGACAAAAGCCAATTCAACAAGGTTTGAAATTTCTGGAGACCAAATTAATTCTCTCGATCCAATGAATTAGATACGAATTCCAAATTAGTTTGCCGAGTTGGCAACTTTAACAGTAAGCGACTTTTCTTCTTTTCGTTCAACGAAAAATCGTTAATTGAAAAATCCGCTTTTCACGCATTCCAGTTTGTATTTGGTAATCTATTTTTTTTTTTTTTTTTGGTTCAACATCTTCACACAAATACAGACGAATGAAACTGGAAAAATTGAACTATATATTTTCGTTCTTATTTTAAACTTATTTCTTTTACCTTTTAATTTATTTTATCGATATTTGTTCGATTCCTTTGATTATTCAAAGATTTACTATTGTACTTCAAATTTGAACGAAATGTTTTGTCATAGTTTTGTATTGGAATTAACCGATAATCGTTTTTAATATTCTTTCTAAGGCGATGATCTCCTTTCCACAAATTTGCCCAATTTGTTTAGAATTAATTAGAACAGGAACTAAGATGGATTTTACTTAAGATGGATTACTTTAGAAAAGGAAATCGTATTTCTAAAAAGATCTCATTTAACGTTATAATTTCTCCATAGGATTTACATAATTTTTATCCTTTCCTGTTAAATATTCTTCCAATATCGTTTTAATCAAAGTTGGAAGAAAAAAATTTTTTTTTCTTCTTCAAGAGATTTATTTGCAAACGATAAACATCGAGACGAAGACTCGGTAAAGAATAAAAGTTGTAATTTACTTATGATTGCGATAAAACTTTTTGTTTTATTCAACGAACGGGATTGAGATGACGCAACAAAGGGCGAATAATAAAACTTGTAATTACTTTCGAAGTAAAAAATTATTTCTAGTTTTCTGTTTGTTGTTGTTGAGAAAAAAGAAATTTTTTTTTTTTACAACTTACTCGCCAACAGTAAGGATTACAGTAGACTTTTCACCAAGAGGTGAAAAAGGTGAAAGCTTGTTAATCGTAACTTCGATAAGTATATTACTTAGGAGATCGGTGTCCTCCCCTCCCCCCCTCCCTAGACGTTTCACGTAACTTTCAAGGTTTTATGCTGGAAAATTAGCTTCTCAGTCGAGAACTTATGAGGATTGATGTAAAGTCCTTTAAGAAACATGGGAGGTACGCGAATGCCATTACATTTCGGCTTCTGAAAAAAAAAGAAAAAAAAAGTGTTATTTTCAATCCTGAAAGATTGATCAATCGTCAAAGTGAAATACAGGTCCGGTGTCGGTTTAACCTATTTCGTTGTTCCACCAGATTTATCTCTTGCACGATAGAGAGGAAAATTTTAAGTAAAATTCAATTTTGCGATAAAAAGAAACAGCGTAGGTACTAAATGTAACAATAAAAAGAAAATACCACTAATAAAAGGGAGATAGGAAGAGCAGTACTCGCAATAGGGACGTAATAAAAAGTAAGTATCTTGTTGGAACAGCGAAGGTAACCAGAGACGATTTCTTTCTATTTCGTTCTGTTGATAATTCGTATGCACGATGATACGAATTGCACGGCCCATTTTTCGAAGTAAATTCGATTTTTATAAATTTTTGAATTCAATTATAAAGGCATATCTTTTTGCAATATGAAACCAAAGTAAATGAAAAATTTTTATAATCTTCTCATAACGGTCCATTTTAGATGATTAAAGAATAATGAATTAGTTTTTACAAATATATTTTCTCTTTTCCATACTCTAGTATCATTTCGATTAAAATAATGTATAACTTTGAAACTATAAAAAAAATTGAAAACTATTTTTATTCATATATAGAGACAAACAAGATGCTTCTTAATTTACATTTAATTAAACATAATGCTACAAGCATAATCTTCAGTTTCCATTGTAATAAATTCTTCTAAATTTTAACGATTTAATTTTAACTTTTCTTTAAGTTAGAAATAATTCTCATACGTATGATGCATTATATATATATGTACAAATGTTAGTGCAATCACGAATACATCGTATAATAAATAAGTTTCTCAAGGATGATTAATACAAAATTCAAGAAAGTTTGAATTTTGCTTCTTACTCGAAGAAACTTTGTTTCTTCCTTATTTTACAGTATAATTTGTTCACCTTGAAAGTGCATCATATCCCTGGGCAAATGTCGTATACTTTTTATAAGTGAATCAAATACACGTTTCCGCACTTCGTTAGAAGTGAGACATTAGAATTTATGAAACAGCCAATATCCATGGTGCAATTTTTCACCACGTTGACAGGGTGGGAAGACAGGGTGTTGGAAAGAAAGAACGTTCTTATATTATCTCTCTCGACGTCCTTGTGTGAAAAAACTTCTAAGAAAGAAATACGAACTTTTCTTTTTCGTACAACGACGACGAGAAATAATCCCATTCTCTGATTTGGAATAAATTTTTTTTTTTTTCAACTACTACAAAAATTTATCCTTTACGATCTTTAGAGATCGTAATAATACACGTGAATCATTAATGTCGTAACATCAATAATTTTAAGTAAAGAGAGAGACAGAAAGAGAGAGAATTTGTTCGATAATTATTATTCTATCAAACGAATATTATTAATTCGGTCGAAATTCGTATTAAAATTGTTACCAGCATTTATCGAATGAAAATCAATAAATTGAGCGTAGTAAATGCAATCATCGCTTCGCCAAAATGGATATTCTGAATCAATTTAACTCCTATTTCGTACGAATTTGATCACTTTAAGCGTTTGAATAATTATTTTCGCTTTCTTTAGATCAAATTACGTGTTTGCGTATATATTTTCAAACGAAATATTTAATAATTTAAAATTCAGAAAGATTGGGAAACGAAGGATGGCCAAGGATACGTGATATATTGTAATTCCTCGTATGAAATGTAATTTATTTGGATCCTATCAATTTAAAATTCTTCTTTTTCCTCCTCTGTTTACACATCTTCATCATCTCAATCGAGAGCAACGTAATTACTTTCGGAATTCTAGATCAAAGATTTTGAACTACGTGCATGGTAATAATGACAGTACGGAAACTTTGTATTCTTCAAAGAAGCTTTAATGAAGGTGAACCTGATGATATCTAGACGTTCGCTATCAAGAGACGTCGACTTCCATTAATAACACAGCGTTGACTTCTATCGATTATTTATAAGAGGAATTTATGCAGATTGGATAAGGACAGGAAATTGTTTCCTTTTAAAATCATACATCGTATAATAGAATATTCTCCAAAGTTTTATAATTTGATAGGATAAAATATAATTTTTAGAAAGAATCGGATACAAAATTGGGAAACGAAAATATTAAAAATCTTTTCGTGGAAAATTATATGATATTTATACAAGGTGAAATATTTTCAAAATTGTGTAATTATATCGAAACAATTTTGTACAAAAATTGACCAGTTTTAAGAAGAGCATAACATTCATATAATTCGATTTTTTTTTGCAAGTAAAAAACATATAAGAGTTTGTTTCCTTTTCTGAAATTTTTTTCCATGTGATTTATAATTTCAGATAAATCTATGGATTATTACTATTGGACTTTTTTAAATATTTTTTCAATGACTTTAATTTATATATAGTATAAAACATTATAGTAAAAAAAAATAATTATGAGGGTTCTTCAAAAACCATTTCTATTTATTTATGGGCTATAACTTCCAAATTGGGATTAACATAACATCATAAATATTCGATAAAATAGCGGAACACATTCATCGAATACGATCGACAATATTTCTGGTTTCCAATAACTTTTGAATTTAAAGTTTCACGAGCGTTGAAACGAAAACAATATAGAATCGATATATAAGCGATCAAATACCGGCGATATGTACCTCACGGCAGGAATAATTCCAATCGAATCATTCCAGAAACAATTCGAATGCAAAACGATATCATTTAGGCGTACCATTAAGGTGGGAAAGCATCGGAATTTAATCGAGTTTTCATCGGTCCATGAAATGTTGTTATGATGCTCATAGGGGATTTGAAAAATAATCAGTGAGGCGACGTCCAATTTTTGATGATTAATTGCCCGATTATAATTCACAAACAGATTGGCATTAAATATACGTATTAAGAGATTGGAATTCGCGTAAAATAAGCGAAGATAAATTTGGTGAATTTTGTGGCTGTTTATTAGCGAAAAGGAATTCGAAATTGGATCTGTTGAAGAGGATGCCTTTTGAATAATACTTTGTAATATCATGTTCACAGAATGAAGTGAACTTTTAATCCTTTGCACTCGAGTTACGATAGATTATTAAACATCGTTGTTAAATTTTTGCACAAATGTTATTC